CTCTTCCTCCTCCGCTGCAGCCTGACACAACCGGCATGCCTGCAAACTGACATCCGCACGGTTACACGCAAAGAAGGGAACGATCCGCCCGCGTTCAGACGCACCCTTAGAAAACATTTTTCTGTCACCCCGCTGAGGGAAAACAGGACCAGTGGTTTTAACTCTGCACCGAGCCCCTCATTTTGTTTTTTTGGAGGGACTTGAAGGGGAGAATCCAAACCAGGTAAACGATGTTCGAACAAAGATGGGGATGTTTCACGGGACAGGGACGGTGGCAGGTTTTTTTTTATTTATTTTTTACGCGCTTCTTGGTTAAAGATGCTCAAGATGTTTTTAATGCATGCTCCTTTTTTTTCCCCTTTCGCGTGCAGGTGAGAGAGTTGTGGTTAATTCGATTTGAGCTTTTAGGTGCAGGGACGTCTTTGTGAGTACAAACGGTGCTGTGGATGGAATACTGTACCGCAGCGAGAACACTGAGTTACTACCGGAGGGGTTCATGCGGGGAAAAACTGGGGGATGCTGCTGCAGATGATGGTGAAGTGGAAGGAAAGCAGGAGATGAATTAATTAAAGACGCTCGGCTGCTGCAGAGCGGACTTAAGGGCAGATGAGAATGTCCCGGGGAACGAAACAACGAGATAAATGACGAGTACATCAAGTTCAAGACGAGGGTGCCACGACTGCAATGTCACGAGGATGCTGTAAAATGCAGTAAAACTGCATGCACGGGCTTTATGCCGCACACAAAATGACTGAATGATCCTCAAGTCAGGGTTATTTCCCCTAAATCAAAGCAAAAACATTAAAGATGCGGTTCCATTTAGGTTTAAATCGAATATATTGTTTATTAACTTATGATTAGCCTTTAATACCGGATGAAATACTTGCAGATGAGCATGAAATATCATAACAAATTAAATAGACCCATACATAAGAAGGAAAATGAGAAAATAACTTTTTTGTCCGGAGACAAAAACGCTGACTTTGACGTGATGCTCTCAATGCCTTGTGCCCTGGCAGAAATCCTACCTACACTATGTCATGTTTGACCCCGTCTTTGTTTTCCTTTTACTGGGAGTCATTTCTATGTGAGGATACATTGCAGGCAGTCAGGCGACTATCAGCATAAATCCACCCAAGATGGAGCATGCCTTTGAATCGAGGGGGACAAGTGCTTTAACAGAACTCCTAGTTTTATGGCTTCACCGGGTTTAGATGCTATCTGTGTTTATTAGTTACTGACATCTTTCGAGCATATTCACAGCTTTCAGAAAATGTGAAAGGTCCTGTAAAAGCATCCCAGTAGCAGAAGGTACTTGAACTGCAGAGGGCTTTGCTTTTTGCAGGTTTTTCTTCTCTGATCCAACACAGGGATCTCCATCTGGATGCTTTTTTTTTCTTATCTGCATCACAAGCTTCCTCCTCCTCCTTCTCCAGCTCCCCCATTTCATCCCGTCCCATCCCATCAAACTCTTGCTGCCCCGGAGTGCGTGCAGTCACAGCTTATGTATTCTGTTCCCCCGGCTGCAGGTCTGTCCCTGATAACGCGGCCGCAGAAAGAGGAGAACACAGAACTGCTTCATCATGAATTTTGTAATGAAAGCTGCGCTTGGAGGTGAGTAGTCCGCCTGGCGTGAGGTTGATTTAACAGCACTGCAGTGAAAAGGGATTTAAAGGGACGCTCACCAGCAGCAGGAGCGCCGCAGGAGTGTTTGCCCGGTCGTTATAGTGGGACGCCGGGCCGCGATAATCCATCCTTCACAAAAACTACCGACCTCAGCTCGTTTTCTCTGCGAGGCAGCGTAACTTATTCTTAAAAAAAATGACCTCCTGTCAGCCAAATCGTTAACCTGATGTGAGCAGGATGTTTAAAAAGCTGCTCACATTTTTTTTTTTTTGTTGCTCTCTGTGTCGTCCTTTGTAGGAATAGTGTAAATGGGACCGGTATATCATGCCCAACAATTGAGGGTAGGACAGCTGCAGAGGAAATAGGACAGTAGCAGCTGAGGATGTAGTCAGGAGGTCCATGGTTGGTTTCCTTTATGTGCTAGTGATGCATAGGGAACCTCCTCAGGGCAGAAGCGCCTTCCTGGCTGCCTGATCTTAGGGCAAGAATCAGTGCTTTTCATCATAACCTCTATCAGCGTTTTAGGCAAGAAACATGAGAAGGAACAGTTGGGACAAGAGCTAAGATTAGCTTTTTTTTATAATGAGACTTTTGTCCTTTAAAGCCTTCAGGTATTATCCTTTTGAATATTATCTAAGCTATTATTTCACCACTAATTAGTCCTCAGAAAAGCTCAGCAACTGAGCCTTCTTGTCAGCTTTAGCTTCAAGGCAAACAGCAGGAAAGTGGCACCAGTGGTTAGAATGCGGGAACGGCACGCATTTCTGGTCAGTCGTGCGTGATGCTGAACTGTTGCAAGTTACCGAGCGGACAGCCAGCTCCAGTGGGGTTGCGGAGGTGAGGCACAGACGTGGCTCCTCATTGGGATGCAGGAGACGAAAGCGCCGCCTTGCTCTGCATAGCTGCTGTGCCCGGAATCTGCGCTATGAATTCTTAAATAAACTGCATCGAGTTGCTTGCAGGTTTTATCTCTGCATGTGTCAGGCTGCACTCTGGCTGCAGACTGTGGGGACAGGCTTGCGAGAGCGTGCATGTGTGTACGAGCCCAGCCTTTTGCCGGAGAGATGTTTTATGGACACTGCAGAGGACTGGTTGAGTGTGTTGTTAACCTCGCCTCATCGTTCGCCTATGAGCGGAATGGAAGTGCAAAACTGCACAGGCACAATGTGTTAGATTTTTGTTTGTTGAAGAAAGATGACAGATCAAGGATAAAATAGCGAGAAAAAAAATCAATGATTAGAAGAATATATGTATGATGATTGGTAATAATGCCTTTCAGGATCATTATGCATTTTGCTGAGGGCGCCATTGAATGTTCGGTCCAGAGAGCTTTTGGTTTTTCCTATTGACTCTGGACATATTCACCTCTTTCCTTGAAATGCACAAAAATGAACGATATTTCAGATGGGCTGCAGATCTTCAGTCACATAAAGAGGCGAGACAGTTTTCCAGATAATCAATCCACAAAGATATCGATCTGCCGCTTGGTGCCTGTCAGCTAATATTTCTTAACAACTCATAAAGCAGTGAATCTGCATTACTGTGCAACCCTTTTGGTGTCACGGCCCAAGCTGCATACAAACAGTGTATTCAAGCCTTCCTGCTTTGATTCAATCTGAATGCCTGTTCATAAGTCCTCACATGTGCTTACGTGTTCAAATTGTTGTCTGTTCTCAGCGAGGGCACGAAAAATTGCGAGACGACAACCTCATTATGAGATTTTGTGAATAAGAAAGCGTTCAGCTGGCGTGACGCAAACCTTCAACACTCTTTTTCATTCTGGCTCTGATATTATTAGCACTCACATCCCCCGTCCCAGCATCCCATGATTATGTTTCTCCAGTTTAGAAGTGGATTTGATGTCCTGGCGCTGAGTGCTTTGATAAGTATGTTTGGCGATCCGTGTGTGGATGAGAATCTTCAGGACAGAGATGATGCTGCCAGTGCATTAGGTAATCCTCCAAGGCATCTCCGGTTGCAGATTACTGGAACAAAACAGAGAGATGTTGAATGGCGATGACTCAGCGCGGCTAAAATCTGAAACTCGGACGGTGCTGGGCGGTGTGGGCATTGTCTGATTCCAAAACACACATTAATTCCTTGATATTTTCTGTAAAACTCTAACAAAAGCACCTTAATTCCAAAAAGTGCAGCCACAAAACTTGCGTGCTGCTTCTCGATGCTTTCCCAAAGGCCTTAAGCAACAATATGTGACATGTAAATATTGGACCCAAGTTTTATCTAATGTTGACGGAAGAGTTGTTCCCCACACAACCTACGAATAATATAAGCTCATTCAGTCATCCAGCCTGAACCCCTCCTTCATAACAGCATTTATGATGACACAAGCTTGAATTAAACAGTTTTGACATAAAGCGGAAGCAGCTGTGAAACTGTCTTGCTCCCTGGACTGCAGTCCACAAGCCCTCTGCGACTTTAAAACGACCAGCCAGGGGGGGGAAAAAAAAACTATTAACACATGCTTCATTTGACAACTCGGCACATTTTGAGCAATGATGCACCGCGGTTCTTGTTGTTTAGGGAGCCATTACATATTATATATTATATCGCTTATAACGTTTGCTCCCCATCCTAAAATATTCACCAAATGAAATATTCCAGAGTGCTTCAGTCCTGACGCAGGACTTTTAAAACTCCTAAAACTTCAAGCCTGACAGAATAGGAGGCTGCAAAGTGTGCTTCATACTGAGCACCAAGGTCTGGAGCTCATTTAGAATATGGAGGCAGGAGCATGATTGCATCAGCGGAAAAAATGTTTTTCCATTTAGTAAATCCTTGCATTCAATTGCCGAATTATTTAACATTTAAGTCCCCAAGTATTATGACAATAACATACCATTTCTGAGTTAGTGGGAAAACTGACAGTTAGATTTGCCTATTGAAAATAAATGTTGCTTGCTTAGATTAGTATAGCAATACATTGATAACCATTCAAATTCAGTATATTTACAATGCTGTTTAGTGGTCCCCCAAAACTGTTTTCTTTTAGGGGCTTTTTAACTTCTGGGCGGCTAATTGATAATTGGCTAATGTGATTTAGCTTTGCACTTTTGCAGCTGAAGAATTTGGAGAACCTCATTCTTTAAAATTGATCCTTCTACATATCTATTTACTGCTCTTTCTTAACACTTTGCGATATTTGTCATATTTGACACTTTTGGCTTCTGAAACATCTAAGACCTTTTGCATCATCTAATGGTAAAAGATTGCCCAAAACCCTTTTGTACATAATCAGGTATACCTGATAAAAGCGGGCAGAAGACTACACAACAATCATTTTGACTTATTGTATGATAATAAATGATAGATATTTAAAAAGTATATCAGTTTTTTTTAATAATTTTGTTAAACGGCCAAATGAAGTCCTCAGACTAAAAAAGATAAAATTTTCTTTTTTCTTGTCTGTGTTTCATATTTTACTTCATAAGGTTGGACTTTTCAATGAGTAGATTAACCCATTTTTTTAACTGGCCCTGTGTTAATAAAGAAAAGTTCAACCTAATTCATTTTTTTTTATTAGATGGAGTGTTTGTTAATTATCAAAAAAAACTTAATACATCCCAATAAATGCTGTTGCAGGTCAAAGTAGTATGAAGTCAGGATAAAAACAAGGCAAAATGAAATGATTCTATGTGCAATAAAAAAAGGGGGCGGCTTGCAGTGGTTGCCCCTTAGCCGAGCTCCTCAAAGTGCATAATCATATTACACATCACTCTACCGGGAATGGCAGTGGGATCCAGACCTCATCACTTGATTAGTGCTGTGGTTACAGCCCATACCCAGCAGCACACGCACACACTTTTCCATCTTCCTCTCGTGCGTTACCCCAACACATCAAATTCAATTCCGCAAAGTGACCTTCAGCTACTGCTGGAGTGAAATAAATGGGTCGGTCTCTTGATATGAGCTCGACTGTATGGCTTTTAGCTTCGAACCGTATAAGTCACAAGCTGTGACAGACACAAGGGGAAAGAAGTGGACGTCAGGGAAAGGAACGGATTAGTTTTTTTTTTTTTAATCAAAAGCTGTAAATAAAAACCCAGTAAAGAAAAACCTATTACTGTGTGTACAGAGGCTTTCTGTTACACTTGAGAAAAAATAAGATAAATGTTTTCACTCTAAATATCTCAGTAAATCTATACCGGAAGGCCACATGATCCTCTGAATCAATGGCGTGCTGTCCAATTCTGTTTAATACGAGAATCATTTAATGTGATGGTGAGTATGTAGATGTTTAGAAGATTTGACCAAGTTAATGAAAGCTATATTTATTTGTTCTATTCATGATGGACTAAAGAATGATCAAGGTTAATTCAGGACAAATTCAACTGAAGAAAAAAACAGTACAGGGATAATTGTTCTATTCTTAACACAGCAATTACCAACCATGATAAACTGTTCCTTAACATGCAACAGTTAAATAGGCTGGGGCTTATTGCAAAATGGTGAATATTACGTGAGCAGTTTATTTAAATATTTCTGAGACTCTAAACAAACTGACATATATAATGGCAAAAACATGAGCTGATGGCTGTTCAATTTCCTCCAAAATGCATGTGAAAGTGAAGATAGAGGCTGTGACACAGCAGTTCTGTCTCTCCATTGTTCTTAGTTGGGACACATTGTAATCTAAGGTCAATCCTGAGCTACAGATAGATTGGGTTTGATGATGATAAACAAATCCACACCAAAAGCGAATGGAAAAAACATGAAGCTGTCAAAGTGAAAGGGTCTGATCTCAAAGAAACTGTGCGATGCAGCAGCTGTGGTGAGCTTAAAAAATGATCGGGAGTTGTTCCTCTTTTCTTACTGTGTATAATCTGCAAATGTGAGGTGATCGCATGCCACTTTGCACCAGAGGAGGCTTCTCACACTATTACCAGTCAAACCCAAGATGTCTTTTTTCAGGCTACTAGATAATCATTTGTTGTTAATGAACAGATTTTTGAGAAAAAGAATGTTTGCATATATTTGCACATATTCATGTATTCACTCAGAATGATGTTTTACCTTGATGATGGTTTCTGTAATCTTAACTGTATTCTGTCAAGATTTAGAATAAAAGAGGGATTCGCCTGAGGACTTTGTGTGGGAAGAGAGAGAACTCAAGCGTTCAGGCTCTTGGAAAGTTAGCGTAGGTTTGTCTTCTTTCCCACTTAGCCTCATTACATTGTGTTGAACAGATTCTGCAGAGAACTTTCAGAGGGAGAGGATTAAAGAAATGACACCTTTTGTGTAACTGTCGAGCAGTGTCCAAGTATCTAAGAAATTAATCGTAGAGCCATTAGGAAGGAATAGCACTACAGAAAGTTTGAATTTAGCTGATAACCACATTGGTTAAAATCATTTGCAGCAAGAATTTCCATTTACACTGTTACAGTATGTGTCCAATGTACTACTATATAATAAATACCATATACTAAACTATATACATTCCTGACTCATGCAGCAGCCACATTCAGAGGCAGAGCTCACAATCCTTAAAAAGAAAGAACAAAGCTCGAGACAGCTCATATGACAAATTTAAACTTAAAAGAATTATTTTTTTCAAAGGATTAACACAAATAGCACACAACGTGGCCGCTAGAATCAGTGCGCACAGCTTTGTCTGCATGAATCCTCATTATTGAACAAAGATTATCTTACCATGCTTGAAATGCTCTCGGAAATCAGTCCAAATTTCTTGGTCCTAATTTCTTAAGCTTAGAGGTGTTTTTCTTAGCTGCCCTCGCAAGAATCAACGATCCTTTGCATGGTTTCTTTTGCACACATTCAGGTTTGGACCCTTAAGCTGTTCCTAAATAATGCTCTCATTATGGTGAATAAGCTCTTTCCTTGGATCAGAAAAACCTCTAAGCATTTGGGATAGCATTTCAAGTATTAATGTATGCATTAAAAAAATAATTTAGTTTTACAAAGAATGTCCGGGCTCAGTCCTACTGAAGCACTGCTTAAAATAGAGCTTGTGAATAACCTATTCATTTGAAATGGTGCTGAGGTGTGCATGTCTAAACCTTGAGGCAGTTTGACCAGCAGGTTAGAGTCGAGAGGACCATTTTGACTGGGATTTAAACCTTTTATTAAGGTATACATTTGTAACCACAGATGGAAACTCACATAAAATATTTTACATTCAGTATCTTTTATCATTCATTCTCATTTTCTCATTCTCTGTTCCTTTAAGAGCACACACAAACACACAACTGGTCAGCATCAGAAATGCTCCTTCATGAAAGCCCAAAAAAAAAAAGTCTATGTTCACGTTTATATATCGAAAAAAAGATATGGATTTCACACATTATGTTACTCATCTCCATCCCTATTTCTCTCTCAGACAATTACAAGGAGCAAAGCCATCGTTGTGCAGCAGTTTGATATGTGTTGTTGTGTCAGCAACTCTGCTCTGACCATGTGCTGATTCAGCAATCTGTCCATTGGCCTTTTGCATTTTCCCCTGTCATCTGACCTTTTCTGTAAAGTTCAAGATTGAGGTATTTTCAAGGAATTAAAAATATTAATATTGATATGGCTCAAGAGCACATTTCCTTGTTTTTCCCCCTTCATTCCATTCCTTTCATTAAATTGCTATTTGTAGATATTTGTAGAAGTGTCTGATAATTCAAATTAATACTAATAGTCAAAACTAGCTAAAACATGCCCCAGAAAATGTTCCATTCAAGCACTGATTGCACCGATGGGCCAATATATTCTTAATCTTTTCCTCTTTTTCACCTCTTTTTCTCCTTGCTGTACAAAATTTTGCTGTAGGCTATTTCTAATATGCTGATAAGCAAGAAAAAATAGCTGTGCTCGGGACAGAAGAGGCTCAAGTGATATTCCCCTCTTAGCCTCGACTTTCACCCTCTCTTGCAGGCGCTTCTTCCTCTCCCCCCTTATGCTTAATCTCTTCTCCTTTTTCCTTTTTCTCCTCCATATTAGCTGTTCCACTCACATCTCTTTGCACAGCTCTACAGAAAGAGATGGGTGATCCCGCTAACCGGAACAGCCAAGCTAATTAGACTGAACATATTCTGACAGATTGTCTCCAAATCCTCATATTTTCCTTGTTTTCCTAGTGAGATGTGTTCTATCATTATTTTCTGAGGCAACTAATGCCCTGGTCGTTATTCTGCACTTCTTTTTCCTAACTGCACTGTTCTTACACACGCCAGCCTTTGACGTAGTTGCTCAGTCCAGTGGTTTTTGTTTTCATAATCTTAAAGAAGACGTATAGTGACAGATTTCCTTGTTTTTTCTTGCTCATATATATTCTTTTTGCCCCCATACACGTTTTTCTGCCTTGGCGTCATGAGGTATTATTCCATAGTTCCTGCAGCTGCAAAACACAGTGACAAACATTAATCTTCCGTTATATAAATGTTGATATAAATATTCAATATATATATACATATGTATAAATATGTATACATACATATACATATGTATATATATATATATATATATATATATATTTTTTTTTTTCTTATATATATATATACATAAGATATTTCTAAAGAAGTATTTTCTCATGAGTAATACTTGTAAGCTATCATGTTAGCTAATGTTTTTATTCTCCTTTTTGTATCTCACAGGAGGCCCCCCTGATGTGGGCAAGATGTTGGGTGGGGAGGAAAAGGAAGAAGATCCTGATGCAGCAAAGAAAGAGGAGGAGCGACAGGAGGCACTGAGGCAGCAGGAGGAGGAGAGGAAGGCCAAATACGCCAAGATGGAAGCTGAGAGGGAAAGTATGAGGCAAGGCATCAGAGACAAGGTAATATTTGAGACTGAGCAGAGGAAGCTGCTATCAACCCCAGACACGGAGTACTGCAAGATATGCTTAAGAACAGGGCTTTGACACTGAACGCTTCCCTAAAGAATCAAAAAGGAAATTCAGGCCAAAGTTTAAACCCCCACAAGATATTCTCGTTAGTTTCATGTTTGAAGAGTGATCTCTGCCCTTGCTTTTGATATTCGTGTAACTCCTGAAGTATTCACATTCCTTTTCTTAAATGTCTAAAAATGGACTATTTTTGCACAATTTTTCTTGCCTTGTGTTATTTTTATCCAAGTCGTTGAAGTAAACAAGTAGAGGAGCACAAATTGTACATGACTGACAGGAACACAGAAGCTGATCTAAGTACGAAAATCTTTCTACAGAAATGGCGGACTAAATCGTGGGTTGAATTAGTAAAATAGCTGCAGGAAATGTTATGTCAAATATGTTTATTTATAATTGAGGCATCACTCACGTTAGTAGCAGTTTATGCTTTGATATTCTAAAAAAAACTGCCACACTCCATGTTGCCTGGTCACAACCAAGACTGAGTATTTTTATTTGGGTCAAACTGAAAAACTTAGTTTTTTTTAGCAACTTGTAAAGTTTAGATATTAGCTATTTCTATTGGAAAAAATACTCTTAGAAAGTGAGGGGGATTGTGATGGTTGTTTAGGTTATGTACAGTGTGGACTGTAACACAAATAGGTCAAATTGAAATGCCCGTAGTGGTGTGCATTTGTAGTCACTACATCTCACGTGTGTTTCTGTTCTTCACCACCAGTACGGCTTGAAAAAGCGCGAGGAGGCCGAGGCTGAGGCAGCTGCAGCTGCAGAGGAGCCTGCAGAAGGCAGCTTGACCCGACCCAAGAAGGCCGTGCCAGCTGGCTGCGGAGATGAGGAGGAGGAGGAGAGCATCATGGACACAGTGATGAAATACCTGCCGGGCCCTCTGCAAGACATGCTGAAGAAGTAGGGTAGCCAGCTGGCTAATGCTAACATTATCAAGCTTAGTTAATGGGCTACACTCATAAGGTTGGCTTGTATTTTTTCTTTCTCTTTCTTGTAAGTCTGGAAAATTTAGTAACAATACTGTTTTGTTTTGGGTTTTTTTTTTTTGGGTGTTGGGTTTAATTTAAGTTTTATGGTGGGGCAATAAATAAAATGGGGACCAACAATGTGAGGCGCAGCCTTTAGACTAAGCCTGGCTGACTCAGCAGTTTGGTGTTAGCTTGACTGATGCTACTGTTGGCTGTGTTGTATTTTGAAGCAAAACTACAAGCAGAGGACTAAAGACATGTCAGATGGTTTATCCTTATAGTCTGAGAAGTTTGAAACTCCCTTTTCTCTCTGTGATAGCTGCTCTCTTGCGGCACTGAAAAAAAAAAAAAATTGCCCACCACCTTCACTCAATTTGTACATACATAAATAATACATAGTAAGCCTCAAGGTGGGCAAACAATCATAGGTATTATATAATAATATTAATCTGTGTCTGTCGCTAAAAACAAAAAAGTGATAACTTGATAAGCCATATTTTAAATGTGATTTAACGACTGCTGTTGTGTGCTCTTTAAGTTCCTGTTGTGTGTTAAAACATGTCTAAAATTTCTGTAGTATGTTCTGCACACAGTGTTAACATTTCTCTGTTCAACCAGTCGTCCCTCTTTCGGACACACATGCCCACGATGCGTTTCTGCGTACGCGTTTATGTAGTATAGTGTTTAGAAATGTTTCTATTCCTTACTCAGTGTGTCTTTCTTACGTCTTGCATGACATTTGTCTGTTGTGTGAATATGTACTCAAATCCACTTGGTCCCTGTTTATCCCCTTCTTTATCATGCAAAAAATACGAAGGCAATAACTCCTAAGTTCTGACTGTGTTTTCACTACCATGTCGATGTAACTGTTGATATCAGTAATCAAAAATAGATATTTATGCATTCAGGAAACTGAATTAGATTTGCAGGGTTTTGTTGATTTCATTTTTGATTAAAAATGACCATCTAGCTGTTGTACAACAGCTAAAACCTTAAGCTTTCAGCCATAAAACCTGAGCTCACAGTATGTATACTATTATTTTCAGGGTAAGAAGGGACAAAGTAGTGAATGAAATCTGAAGAAGATATGCATTTTGAGTAAGCTATATTAACTCCAGAATTTAGAACAAGATTGGATTTTGTGCTGTGTGAAGATTTGTGAGAAACAGGCCACCTTCCCTCAGTACACGCCCACACATTGTGAAGTGACTGCAGTTTGCCTACTGATTTTGTTTCACAAAAAAAGAAAAAAACAGGAGTGTTATGAAGGATTCTGTATTGGCGTTTGGGACGAGGGTGATGCAGAATGGCAAGTGCAATAAAGGTTTAATGTGTATGTGTCTGCCTGAGATTCAATAAAAAGTTAAAAGTTTGTCCAGAGACTTAAAATTGTGTCTTTTTTTAAATTCTATTTTGGCTTTCGTTTCGCAAATAGGGGAGTCACAAAAAAAGAAGATTGCTTTTTTGGAGGTCTATCATTTTTTGGTTTGAACAGTTTTGTAAGATTGTTGTCATCAGATAAGCCCTGATTTTTAAAAAAACAAAAAGTAAGCAAAGAAAAACACCTTTTATTTTTAATGTGATCTGGCCAAAATGACAGTGGTAAGAAAAATACCTTCTGCCTGAGTGGATTTTCTGCAGTTCCCCCATCTAAACACTAGGTGTCACTGTGATCTCCACACAGGAGACACTTTATCTCTTATTATCTTCAGAAAAATGTCCAAAACAAATGTTGAAGGAAAAAAACTGGAGAATCAACATCATTTTAAAGCTTTATTAAATCCATAAACAAAACATTTCAACAAAACAAAAGTTCTACAGTGGCCTACTTAACAAAACAGAATCAAGCACTGCAACGTCACAAAAAAAGGACACAAAACTGTAGGTGGTGGGTGTAGCCTATTCTTTGTTGTACAGCATTCAGATATGAATCTTTACATCTATTATGACTATTGGGAACAAAGCAGTGATATAAAATACGATGAAATGGGTTGTCTACCTTTAAAAGGTGCTGCCAGAGTCAGTTAACCATTAAGGAGTTCAAAGAAACATGTTTGATTCTTAACGCAGGGGGTTTCAAGGCCATTTCATCTTGATCTGATAAAACAACACAATTTCCTGTGAATTTCTCTGGAGCTTCGCTGGGTCTCATTTCTGGTTAGATGGCATCTAATCTCGAACAAGAAATCACATTAAGTACTGCCAAATATACTGCTGCATTTATCCAACCTAAAGCTCTTATAAAACTTTTTTTTACTTGAGTAACAGATTACTTCGGGTGTTCAGTGGTTCAATAAATGCCCATCAGAGCGAAGCATGTTTTCATAGCACTTTATACGAGTCTGCTAGCATTTCTCAATCAAAATAGGTGTTTTTTTTAATTATCTGAGTGTTGTTAAAACAAAAAGAAAATAAACTTTTTCTTATTTGAGGTGTTATGTGCAAAACCTGTTATTGAAAAGCTCAAAATGTAACTCAAGTAAATACAAATAAACAAACACATCAACAAATCAGACCTGGTTGAAATCATGACACAAACCCATTCAAACCCTTTTTTTGGATACTTTTGTGTTTAAATTTAACATGGAGGTCATTCCTTCCCTTCCTCATTACAGTTTGCCATTTCTAACCAGCAGATAGGGACATTTTAAACACTGAAAAATAAAATTAATTCTAAAGAGATATTCTATTGCAGTTAATTAAAATTATTCGAATGATTCTAACTCTTTCAGCCAAGTCTGTATAAAATAAATATCTTATGTATATTGTGTTAAATCCCACAGTATTTTTACTCAAACGTCTTCATAGCTTAATCAGAGCGAGTCACAAATTGTGTGTAACGTCTAAAACAGCATTTCTTGTTATAGTTCAAGACGTTTAAGAGTCATTTAATGTAGTAGAAAATACCTTGTATATTGACCTTGTAGAAACCACAGAACATCTGGGAGGTTTTGACAGCACGACTCATTTACAAAGCAATGTTCATCACAAAATCACTTAAAATCACTCAACTCAGACACAGCGATTTTCTTAAAGTCAACCGTCACCTTTCCAATAGGCCCACATTGAAGACCGTGCCCTATTTGGATCACTTGTTCAGATACTAAAGCATTCAAAATGATACTCTAGTCCGTTCAAAAGACTACAGTTTTATTGTCCAAAACCTAGGATCAATGTGAAATACAAAAACAATACAATACATCTCGCCTCTCGCATGCAATGAGAGCTCAAAAGGATGCTGCTGATCAATCCAGCTGTCTCCTTTAACATCTGCCAAACACAAGTCTGTAAGTTAGAAAAAAACGGAGCCTGTCGCACTGGGCTGCCGGTGGCTGTGAGGATGATGATGGCATCACAGGTGGCTGGAGGAAGTTGAAGGTAGCCCTGATTTCTACACATTCGTTCGACACTTTGGGAAGATGGGTCCCCCCTCAAGCCTTCTCTTTCTTACTGGAGATAGGGAGAAAAAGCCAGAGTTACACGGGAAAAAATAGAAAGAACAATTTGTGAAGAAAGGGAAAGAGCAGGAGGAGGCAAAGGCGACTTTAAAAGGCAAGATACATTTCATGACAGCTGGGAGCTTCGAAGGTAAACAGTAAATGGTGAGAGAAGAAAAAAAAGAACATGAGAGCAAACGTATCTTACACTAAGCAAAGAGCTGGATCAACCTCAGAGGGGACCATAGAAATGATTCTTACCAAGTATCATGAAACTTAAAAATGGTTAAATGTATACTTAAACCTTAATGTGGGTAACTCCTGGCCAATAAGAACACACTCAACCTAATGTCAAAGACTTTGAGGCTTGTGTTAAATCCAAATACATTTCAATTTGAATCGAGAGGTTGTCAAGCATGTTGTTTTTTACACATAATAGACAAAAAAACAATTAATCAACAATCACCAACTTAATTCCAAAAACATGAACCCAAGTTTTTGAAGCCCTCAAATGGTTCCTGAGGATGATTCAGCTTTAGAGCGTGGAAGAGGACAGACTGCCTGAGCAGAGGGAACCAAAATTCCTGAAGACAACAGCAGTATGAAAATAAAATAAACACAAAAAAACAGATCAGTAAAGGAGAATGATCCAAAGAAAAGGAATGTCAAAGATGAAGCCGTTCTCTGCTTGGTAAAGCTTTCGAGCAAAAGAAGAGGAAAATTAGAATATCAACGACTGAGAGGGAAAGCAACTGTGATCGGTGCAAAGGGGAAAGAGCAAATGAGAGGCGGCCGCAGTGCGTCGGGCAGTCTGGACGCCGGCAGCGGAGAGGTAAGGCTGAGCGGTCAGACGTGTCGTGTTTGTATGTTTTACTTAGTCTTGGACTTGAACTTTTTCCCAAAGGCTCTCTCCAGCTCAGGAACGGATAGAGTGAGGGTAAAAGAGCCGTCTGACTCTGACCTGACAACCCGGGCTTGAAGATGGGAGAGGGTTTGAGAGAGAAACATTACAGATGATGACACACGCACACTCTTTCCGAGCACAATAACTGCAGTGCAGGTCAGCATAAGAGGCAAAACATCGAAATCTAAATGCAAAATAGCAGAAAAAAAGTTATCTCATAATATGGAAGAAATACTCAAATAGTTTGTGCATGAGCTGCTCGGGGGAAAAAAAAGGGCCCTCCCTCATTACTTTATGTTCTCTCTCATGCACAAGTCTTTTCTTAGTGCTGATGTCATAACTCAGGAAGGTGCTGTTTTCGTTGGCCGAAGCTCTCCGGCCACCCTAACGAGTTACCGACCGATGATATCACCGCAGTCCTTTATATCGGGCTCTGATTGGAGAAGGATTTGAGGAGATGTAGTGAAGATAAAGGCCCAGCAGCGCTGGAGCACACACATCCACTGACCTGACGCTGAAAAACTGCGCGAGTTACATAACCGGCTAATGAGGCGCTAATAACCCTCTGCCTCTCAGCGCGGCTGCACACACTCAAGTGTGTGTGTTTGTGTGTGTGTGTGTGTGTCTGTGTGTGCATTGGTGAAACCCACCGAGGTCGTTGTTGTTCATCATGGCGTTGGAGCCACGGAGACGCGGGCCCTGCTGGGTGAAATGATATCCAAACTTCAACAGCGTGGTGTTTTTCTCCAGCATGCTGGCTATCTCCATCTCCACCTTGTTTCCCAGTGGCTGGCTCTGTAGTTCGGGTAGATGGGTTAGGCACAGGTTCAGATCAAAAGGGTCAAGAAATGATTCATATCCTCTCCTTCAGCAACAAAAAAATGAAGTCGATCAATCAACGGCCACAAAAAAGAGGTTATGTGAGGCTACAGCACGTTGCATGGGCCCTGGTACCTGATTGTCAATTTTGAGCTCAACTAGTGTGCTGTTATTCTGCAAAGACTCGACCAGGGCCAGGATTCCAGTCCCCGTAATGAAGTTGGACTCGACATTCAGGCTCTTCAGCATCGTGTTTACCTTCAGCATTTCTGCGAGGGCCTGAGGAAGCACAGGACAAACTCGAAGTGAATTCAAAAACATTTCCTTTAAAGCGATAAGTGAACCCTAACCGGGTGTACAATCCTAGGACAGCATGTTTGTAACGGGGCTCGTTAAAGAGAAAAAAGAAAAGGAAAAAGACTCACAAATGCTACGGGGTCGTTGCTCCTGGTTCCCACGATACTGAACCTCTCGACCACGGTGTTCTTCATCAGAGCCTCAGCGTATGCCTTCAGAGTTGGTATGGGGATATTCTGGGTTGAGAAAAAGACACAAATTACAAATATTCTTTTTATTCCCCTAAAGGGTTCTGTTTGTGGTATCCACTCAAAAACTAAAAACTTAAATTACGGGGTTCATACAATCGCCACATTTCCAATAACATAAACAAACTGCCTGGTTTAACAAAGCTGTTTTCAGGGAAAATCTATTTTAAACTGCTGTTTCACATCAATCATACTGTTGTATTTGTATGACAATGACAACCTTTGTTTCTCTACTAGATAATACAGATGACACTGACTACTGGAGACAGTAATTGGTTATGCTCATGTGTAAAAATATACTCTGAGTCAGTCAACACATCATACAGAAGATAAATAATATTCTTTACTTAGTGATGATGTAATTTAATAAATAAGACCATTACTGGGGGTTAATGGCCTTATTCAACTGTTTTTTTCAACTATTCCCTTTTAGGCTGCTGTGAACAGGATTTTTGATGATGTTCTCACCCTGATGTTGTTCAGGTTGACTTCCAACAGGTCAGGATCGTTCCTCTTTATTCTCATCAGTGTTTCCTCTACATCGGTGGAGTTTGGCTCTTCATCAGGGACCGGCTTATACTGTGTGCACTGGATCACACCTGGGAAAAGCCAAGTTTAGCGTCTCTGTACCAGACTTGGTTCGCCGGAAGAACCTGCTCTGCTAAATAATCCAACCTGAGTCCATCTAACCTCATCATCAGTGCATTAGTATAAACATGACGTCTTTTCACTACTTGACACATCCTGATTAAAAGCTTTTGAGTCGGGCGGTTTCTAAATCTACTTCACTTAAAACTGTAAACAATATTATCTGGATAAATGATTGTTACAGTCTTGTTACAAATGCTTTCATGAGAGTTTCATGCCAAGCAAAGCATGGGACTCCTTATTGATTATATAAGGGTCACTTTTCCCACAGATAGTCGTCACATTAAATGATTACTTTAACAGAGTCATTTAACAAAGTCTTTTTGTGTGAAAAGTAGATAAACATTTCCATGATTAGGGAAATAGATCACTTCTGAAGGTGGCACAGAGCTGGCTCTCTTTATGGTATAGTTGATTTCACTTTCTGACTGCATTAGGACAATGTATGGAGGTTTGTTCATTTGTCTAACGACTTTTTTAGTGCATTTTGAACCGCAGAAAAATGATATGCCAAAAAGATTGAACCAACTACCCTCACAAAGTTTCTCTCTCTCAAGTGATTCTGACCCAACTAACATTTAACTTCAGCTGATTTCTTGCATGTTTACTTGTGACCTGTTTTTCTCTTAAGTCATCTTTACTTGTTTCTTAAAAAGCTTAGCACACACATGTTCACATTTGTGTCAAGTGAAGCCAACAAGATTTCTCCAAATTACAATTTAGTAGCGTGCAAATGTGCAGGTATGAGTGTGCTTCACTCACTGTTGAGGCCCTGCTTGTTGACGATGGTGCTGCTGGCCAGGGCTTCGTAGTACTGCTGGTTACTCATCAGGGTGTGCATTCCCAAAATAGCTGGAAAAAAAACAGCCGGACGACAGAATGTAAACTGACGAGAATCAACGTCAAACTGAAGATGAGAGTTCACAAATTCAAGTGCAAGGTTGCAAAAAACGATGGGTCACTTTGTGGACAAAAATACTTGCAGCAGCACAAGCAAATCACACCTTACAAGGTAAGTTCTAAGATCGGTATCAGTATGGCCTCAAAGTCTGAACGATAACGGGCTCCTACTCGACTGACTGCACATCATTGAAATGCATCTTTTCTTCTGTCTACAGATTCACTGGTGACACCAACACACTGGTGACACGTGCTGAAAAAATATTTATGACTTGATAAAAGGACAATGAGCTGTACAAGCAAACCAATTCATGGACTTTCCCTTTCCCTAATGGAGAGATTATCAGCTAATAAGACTACTTTTATTAGTGAGCACATGCTGCCTACCTGAACTTTTTATGTGAGAAACAAAAGTGCATTTCCTTTATGCATCCACAATAATGGATAGAAATGTTTCAACAGTACTTTGAATTTAGGGTTCAATCAAGTCAGCACGAGTCACAGATTGTTTAGTCACTACATGGTGTTATCCATGTAATCTAAGTGACACAGCTGCATTTGACATCTGCAGCACTGAACTTGTTGAAACTTTAGGTCCACTGCATGAGCAGCAACAAGCATGCAAAGGGAATCACTGACAAATGACAGCATGAACATGACAGAGAACCACAGGCTGGCTCCAGGCAAACAGGGCGAGCCGTCAATAGATAACCTGGATGGGGTTCAGCTAATGGAAAGAGAGATCCAGCAGAGGTAGGAGAGGGGAAGAAAATGGAAAAACTTTTGGAGAGATGAGGAGGGAGGGTGGAGGGAAGATGAAGGGAGCACTAAAGGAAATGGAAAAGAGTTAGGATGAGGAAAATTAAACTTAATGAGGATTAGTCAAAGCTGAGATATAGTCTTTACATAATTAGTGAATACAGAGAAGATTAAAAATAGTAAAGACCTCTACATTTGAATATAGCCTGCATTACTTCAGACTAGAAATATAATATATCTATGTATTATAGTCTATACATATAACTATGAGCATGAATGATATTTTTCTGTCTATTTCATTAGTCCAATTGGGAAATGAATGCTTTTTTGGTAAATTAATAATTCTTTTTTTTTTACATTAAACATGGAAATAGAAAATAACAGTAATGAAATAAAAAGACATATATTCTACTTGAAGATTAATATTTATGAATACACAATGTCATTGTTTGCATGATTGTCCTGTTAGCAAATGTATAAAGTGTATAAGATGTGGACGAAGATGTGGCACCTGCTATATCACAGAGTTCTGCATCAGTAGCACTCGACAAGGCTTCCTCCAGTTCCGGCTCAAGAGTAACGCTCTCAATCATTGGGTCCACATGCTTTTTAGGCACCCAGGCCTTTCCTGCAATACCAGACCAGAGAGTTCATTCACTGAAAACACAACATGTCTCCCAGTGGACACGTCAACATCAGAGAAGAGCCACCTGACAGAGACGGGTGCTTAGGATGGATTTTGGTGGAGGCTTGAAAGGAAATGCATTGATTAAACTTGAATAAATAATAAAGTGGAACTTTTACTTCTGTTGAGTGGGGATTAGGGATGAAAAGAAAACTTCCCCAGAGGTTTCTAGCATGTTTTCGATCAGATTTGATTTTTTTTTAAAGCAACACCCACAGTGCTTGTTGCGAGCTGCATGATAAGTTCCCTCGTGAATGGAATTACCAAAAAAAGCCATATGAACACGTGCGCTTTGACTATCTTTTTAACATTAAACGTCTCAATCGTTTTCTAGTAGATACCATAAATGAAATAATAAATAGGCAAATGAGTCTGAAATATGTTTTCTAAAACAATGGACACTGACACTTTTCTGTGGACAGTTCAAAGGCAGTGTGAAAAAAATTCCCCCAATGTCAGATAAACTGTAGTCGCACCATTTTATCTTTACAAAGGCGAGTTGATAAAATGACCGTCATCTGTCTGTCTGTGGAGGCTTCAAAGAAAGGGGACAGTGCTTATATAGTTTAGCTGCTCCTCAAGTTTCAGACAGACCTCTTCCCAAGTGTCCTCCATTTGTTGAATTGTACAATAATGAAGAATTCCTCCACTCAGCATATGACAAAGTGGGCTGTTTGTGTCAGTCTCTTCCCCACCTTCAATTGGACTTTTATGATGCTCACTTAAGGAAAATAGCAGCAGCCAAAGGCGGAAAGAAATTAGAGGCTGAGAGACCTTCTAAAGTTTCACATAAAGACAGCTGCGATATCCCACCATCCATAACACACACACCTCTGTCTCCGCACCAGGCTGGTGCCGGTCAGCCTACGGACCTCTGAGGACCCGATAAAGGGAGGATTTATGAAGCTGACCTACAGTGTTACTAGATCACTGAGAGACGTAGTTTGAAATGACCTATTTATCTCCAACTTAGTTACCCAAATGTACAGGTTCCTCTTTAGCCAAATTGTAGTGTCTGTACAAACGGAAGGTTTGTTCATCCTGTTAGCTCATTTTAAGTCTGAAGTGAAACAAAGAGACGAAACACTGTTTTTTTTTTTATAAAAGTGAACGTATTGATACACAACTTTACAAAAGAAAAAATATGCACAGGCTAGTCAGAAAGAGCAGTAGTAGTAACCAAAGTCCAAACAAATGTGTTTTCCATGATAAAACCCTAAACGCCAAGATAATAAGTCAAATGCAAAGAGAGTTAATTCATTATCAAAATAGTATACAGAAAGAAAACACCATTATCTACCTCTCTTCTCCCCAGTGAAGGGCACCAGGTCTTCTTTGTCAGGATGCTCTTTGGCCTGTTTCTCCAGATGAGCCAGGAGGTTGTCTCTCTGAAATGTTCCCGTTGGTGATTTCTTGGTCTGGTCCTTCTGCCGCAGGCCCGCAGGCAACAGCGCATTCTACAGCCGGACAGAATAGTAATATTATCATTTAAAAAAGTGGCTCTAAACACTTGAGAAATATTCCTATAGCAGCTGTATACACATACCTATGTGTACTTATAGCAAGAACTAGCAAAATATCCAGAGATACCTTGAAAAATATTGGATATATTATTTATTTCAACGAAAATTAAGTAAAATTTGAGCATGATCTTGTTGCCAACATGCACTCATCAGGAACAACTGAGGCACTCAGTCACACACGGACTGGTTTTCCCCACAGCAGTAGTTCCGTTCTCCATTCAAGAATATGTGGGTCCTTGTTTTGATAAGTTTAGCACAGAGCCCTAAATGATGTCATCCTGACTGTTTTTTGAGCGGCAACTGGTTCTTGCTGGGAACTACTATTTTAGGCTTTGGACCAAACTACTTTATCTTATGATGTTCGGTACGTTGATAAAGGAACAAAGTCTCTTTTTCCGAGTTAAAAAGCTCACACAGAGCTACTAACATGGCTGGATACTTGTATTTTTTCAACTTTGACAGCAGACTAACACCACAAGATGAATAATACATATGAATAATGTCATGTATGTATAAACATATATGCTATTCACTAGAAATCTGAAGCCATACTGGACCAAGATCCATTTAAGGAAAGGATTAGCTCTTGGATGCTGCTTCATTTGTATTTTTAATCTGGTTGAAATACTGGTGGAGGCAGTTTTCTTCCTTCCTTCATTGTAAAGTGACAGAACAGACACTGAAAGCTCGCTTTAGGTAGACGGTGAAATGACTGAACAGGAAAACACCAGAGACAAACGTTTGAATTAAAGCATTGGAAAATACCTGGAAATACATTGGTGTACTATCTAAGTGCTGGTCAAGTAAATCCCTGTCTCCCTCCCTGTGCCTGCCCGCACAAGATCAGAACGTTTCCTGGACCATTAGGTTATTTCCAACCCAAAGCAACATTTAAAACCAAGCTCTCAGAGGTGCTACTAATAGCTTCATATCTTATCTCAGCTCAGCACTCAGAGGCCACCACATTCGAGCGTTTTGTATAGTCAATTTAAACCTGCAATAACACGGGTGACGCTAATGTTTTTCAAATAAGAAGTCAGACTGCTAATGAAAAATGGAGATAAGTCCCAAGGTTCAGTTTTTTTCTTCGGGGAAGTAAATAGCAGGGAACAGAAGTCTGTAAAAGGAAGGCAGCACGTGTACAAAGACAAAATGTTCTCTTCACGACTGTTTAAAATCTATTTTTCAACAGTCGAAGCACATCTGGCAGACGGGGATCTTCGGTCCAACGTGGGCCGTTTTCAGAGCCTTTACTGGAACTGAGGCGGGACGCCCTGCTTACAGTAGGTTTCAGTGCGAAGGGGGTACTTTACTGTTGTGTAACAGGTGGGGAGGCGCAAACATGGCACACACACACACACACACACTGCCCTCGCACTACGTGCTCTGTTTACGTCATGGAGCCCCTGCAGTCGCTCACTGCTGGCATCAGTCTCTCCATATTAACCCTACCAGTCATCCCCTTGGCATTGTGAGAGAGACTCCAGTCTCTTTACGAGCAGTTAGACATTCATCTGAAAGCTATTACAGCCACTGTCAGCACGTCGCCTCAAGATAAACCTCTGAGTGTTCTGTCTGCGCAGGCAGAAACAAAAACATCAGAAAAACTGGCACGGCGTCATTACCGATGTTTGCAACTCACCAAAGCTGCACACGGACATGTTGAGAGTGGCGGGAAAAAGAAAGAAACGCTGCAAAGCTTTGGGTGTCACAATCGACCCGTTTCTTGATTGAGTGTCGGTTGTGTTGACTTCACTCAACCTCAGGAAACGACACCGTTTCGTACTCTTCGTTGCTCATATTTCATGTGAGGTAATGACGTTAATTATAGCAGTTATTAAAAATATTACATGACCACACCAGCTGTTCCATAGTTGGCTACAGTGCTAGCCTGTTACTGCAACAGCTGACCAACCCGATACGTCCATCACTGGCTTTGACCAGTAGCTATCTGGTTTTTCTCCAAAATTGCATCATTTATTATTGAATTTGGATGTAGAATTTCATTAAGAATCGTTGCCATACAACTCCGGAAATTAATGCTGTGTAAAATGTGTAAATAAAAAAGATAATGCAATGCTTTGGATCCCAGAAAAAACATTATAGAGCATTAAAAACATATAAAATGTTGACCCTGAGACATTTTGTGAATGTTTTCATGTCATTAAAAATATTTATTCTGTTTTTGATCTACATTTGCACAGTATCCTATCCTTTTTTCATTTGTAAATCGGATTCATGATACAGTGACACAATGTAAAATTCTTATTGGATTAGACTTGTGCTGCCTGGTTTTGCGCACACAACATTAACATAGGAAATAAAAGTAGCGGCTTCCACCTCAAAACACTTTAAATGATGTGTCAAAGAAGCGGCAGAGTTCTGTCTGCTGTTGTGTCTCACTTAAAGGGTTCCAATAAGCCTGTATCACCCCGTAACTCACCACACTGACAGCCTTTCCACCCTATGGATTTAGGGATTTTAAACTCACATCAGGATCGAGCTCCTCCAATTCATCCTCTAACCGCTGCAACTCCTCCTCTGAGAGCTTCTTCAGCAGCTCGTCCTCGTCTATGTCCCTGTACTTGTCCATCTCCTTCTTCAGCACCGACATCCTGAACAGCACCCCTGGAAAAATATTACAAACTTGAAGAGAGCTGGGGAGATGTGATACACAGATGGGCTAAAGGCTCTGGAGGCATGGATTACTCTGAACAGAATAAACATGTCAATACTAACTTAAATACTGGACTCTGACAGTGTTTTCTCTAGGTTACTTTCACCACATATTATATCTGTTTGGATTACATCATTTAAATTATCATTATCACTTTTCTGTGAAGCGACAGACAGTCAGACAAAAGGCTCACCTCAAAACCCCCTCCAAATCAGAAAGATGGGAGTTTTCTGTAAATTCTAAGATTTGGAGAGGGAAGTTGGTGTTGTTCTTCCTTCTGACCGTGCTCACCTCAGAGATCCCCACCTCAGGGGTAAATCAGCAGGAAAAAGGCAGCAAAGTGCCTGAAGCGCTTCAACCAAAGTCAGAATCCTGAAAGACAAAAAAAAGTGCAAGAGAAAGGAGATGATTAGCTCCCATAACAGGGCAACAAAAGATGTGGGAAGTCAACTACCTGTTAATAAGTATGTTCAAGAATTATTTTCTTTCTTTCACTGTTTTCGTACCACCTTAAAAAAATTTAATGAAGTTTCCTTTTCTTTTCTTTTTGTGTTTTTAATCTGGGTCAGCTGCTCTTCAGTACTTTTTTCTCTTCAATGGCAGTGAGGACATCTTGGATTTTTGTCCTGTCCAATATTGTCTGTTCAGTGCAACCCAACGGATCAAATTTGGGAACTCTTTTGTGGGTTTGTTGGTCTCCAAACGCTAAACACTCTGCATAAAGGAGGTCTCGAAGCCTTGGGTGGAATTCATACATTAGTTAACAATGATGAACGATCACATGACAGCAGCAGTACCTTAGCAGAGCCTGCCCTCACCAAGTTATGAAACTCATAAACACTACTCATAAATTAAGCGGAAACTGTCAAAAAAGCCAAAGTAGATGACACATTAGAGTACAGATGTAACCACACAAACCTCCTTTTCATAATATACATAAGCAAGTGTGCTTTGGCTGCCCTCAAAAGAAGTGGGATCAAGCTTGCTTTTCTTTTGGTCTGCTTCCTCTAACATCCATGACAAGTTCCCAAATGCTTGACACGAAAAACTGGGCTGAACTCCAAATTCGTCTACTGGAAGACACTGACCTGCTCTGATGATACCAAACAGACCCCCTGATTGTTTTTCCAAGGTTTCTGTGAGCTTCTGCTTCGTTAGAGGACGACCGTGAAGCACAGACCAAGGAAAACTGGAGAAGTAGAGCCAGAGACATCTGACCCTCTAAAACATTGGCACCCTCCTCCGTAAATCTTTATGGCTAAACATAAAGTTTTGCAAATTTAAAGAGCAGCAAAAAAATGAATAAGTATTAAATAGATAAAAATAACACGGATCTCAGAGTGGTCTATAAATCAGCCCAGTAAACAGAGCAGGAAGTTAAACGACAGGGACTTTTGGATGTTAAACAGGGAAGCTTTCTGCTGAATGTCTTGAAACAGCAGAGATTGTGGCAGTGACACTTTTGAGTCCACTAGCTGACACAATCACAGAAACAAGTAACGCAGCACAGTCCTGTTCGATCCAAATACATGAAAAAAGAAAAGAAAAATGCAATTCAAAATAGTTTAGATCACTCAAATTTCCCTTTTTGAGACCGGTTAAGTACGTATATCATATCTGCACATCAGTCAAAGTAGAGGTTCCCATTAAAAATATGAAAGGAAATAGGAAGAGAAAGTGGCTTTCAGTCACGTGTAAAAAGAAAGTCAGATACTTTCTTTCATTTGTAAGACTGGTACATTTTACATATCGGGACATCCAAGGAGTTGCTCTTATATGGAGAGAGAACTATGTGTATGAATTTGCCCCCTGATGGGAAACTAATGACTGAAGCAACTTTTGCAGCCTGAACCTGTGTGTGACACCATCACTCTCTCACTTAGATGAAGAGGAATATTTATTACACCCTCACTGTTGCTGAGTTTGGAATCAAAGATCTCATTACATCAGTAGTCAATTGGTAAATTAGTCATTTGGTAAATTGGTGTTCATTGTAATATTTTCGTATCTTAATAACTAAATTATTATATTTTAACAACTCTTCTTTGTAAATTACCTTTATTTATTTTGTTACACTGTAAATAACCTTAATTTATGTCTCCACTGTGCTTGTGCTTTTCCCCTTTTTGCTGCTATAACGTGTTCATTTCCCTACTGTGGGATCAATAAAGAATTCTATTATATTGTATTCTATCTGTGGTTTTTCCCAAAATGTGACACAGTTTCAACCAACCTTTAGTTGTGGACAAGTTTTCACGTTTGACTAAAGGAAGTCTTGGTATACTGAGTGGTTCATAGTTGGATCAGCGTAAGTTCTGATGTTTTTCAGAATACCGCCTTTACCGAGATGACCATGCTCGCTGATGACCAATTGACCACATGTTTGTGGTCTTTAGTGCTTTGCAGCTATTCATTAAAAACCTCTGGAAGCATCTTTTTGTGTGTTGTTTTTCATTTAAGATTACATTGATCTAATTTTAAGACCAAAGGATTTGATTATATTAAATATATCAATGAATCCTTAGAATATAAACATTGCATTCTTCCATTTCTCATGCCTGTGTGTATCTGCATTGCAAAGGAGCTGTAGCCTCCAGACTTGGGTAGTCCGACTAGCACCACAGAAAACAGCTGAGAGACAACTGGCGTCCCTGATGACAGACTCTCTTCTACAGACTCTTCTGCAATCAGGGCCAATCTTCTCTCTCTAGGAGAAATCCACTGTTACATTTGGGTTTTTTCTGCACGTTGGAAGCAAAAAAAACTGAATCCGTCCTTAATGTTGTTGAGGACACCAGGCCTGTCTGTGCCCAACGTTATCCTCCCCCCCTCCTGCACTCAGGACTCCATGGAGTCATGTATCTGTTTGGTGAGGGACAGGGCCGCTCGCTGGACGCCCGCTGGACGCCCGCTGGACGCCTGGGACCCTGAGCTCCGGCCATTTGTGCATTCAGCAGAGGTCAAAATGTCATCGGGTTTTTGCCAAGGCTCCGTCTAGGCTTAGATCATCGGAGGGCTAGTTTCACATTGGCTGCTGAGATGCATCAGTCAACCAGGAGGTGAACTGCAGACCTCTGAGTGCATTTGTGCACATCTGAGATGAAGCCCCAGACAGCACGGCGACAAAGACAAAAGTAACTTGCAGGCCACTAATCGAGTTTGATTTATCCACTGATCACACAATCATTTTAGTATACTTTCTATTCTTAAAGCAGTCTTCATGGTTTCTACCTTTCTGGGGGACTTCTGTGTAAAAGAGATAATCCCACATAATATTCTGCCTAAATGTGCAGATATGCTTTATGGAAACACTCCTTTGTTTCCAAGAGGAAAAAAAAAAAAACTCATTGCCCTCAATGGCACTCACTGTATCCATGTCACTTTTTAAAGTAGCAAAAGTCTGTTGCTTATTTGACTGTTAATGTCCACAGACGGGGATTTTTGCATTAATTTACGTACCTCCTCCGGCGCTATTTATAGACAATCGGCCCAGCTGGGTGACAGCTACGAATACTTTGACCAGATATGGTTTCCCCCGGAGCTGCCTGGAGTCGCAGAGAGAGGTCCGCTCCAGAGAAAGCGCACAAAGCCGGGAATCCGCCCGCAAAACCCGGCTACACGAAACCATCCATGATCCACGCAGAGTCCCGAATCCTGCAGATTTCAGCGTGAACAAGGTTCCCTTCCACAGGTCCCGGTCGGCTCTCTCCTTGGGCTTGGGGAGGCTGAAACTCATCTGCTGCACAGGGCAAAGTAAAGTTATTGGGGAGAGATCCTCCTCCTCTTTCTCCCCCCCCCACGCGGGACTGGCCTGTCACTCCGGTGATGTCATGAAGTGACGCGGCGTCCATTATCGGACATATAGACGGCGATGCATGAAAAAGAAGAAACAAACTTCTGGAACAGCTGTCTGCACGTGTTTCGTTTTTTTTTCCTTGTTTACAGTGAAAGTGCACATTTGCGTGGAGGTCAAGCATGCCAACACGTTAGCTCGACTACTGTGAAGTCAATTTAATGCACTTTCAAAGGCCCGGAAGAGATGGATGAGATCTATACTAGAGCTGAGATCTGAGTAGACTCCCAGCTGGAGAGGACTGAGGTGATCTGTTTTAGTTTAGCATAAAAGTGTGTAATGACGGAGAAATGAAAAGTCTTCTGGTTTGAGCCCACTATATGGCCATTTCAAAAAGGGATCACGAGAAAAATATGTGCAGAGTGGAGTTCTTTAGCTACATTTGTGTATTTTTCCTCCACACCTTTGTTGTGGGATTTATTTTGGATCTGCCCAACCCAAGAGCTGTATTATTTGCTTTTTTCAGAATGCCAGGCTCTCCATGATCAAACATATGACTTTTCTGAGGTATAAATAGCATGACAAAGGAAAAATAAATGTTTGACAGTTGCTTTATTTGCTTCAACAAGTTTAAGGAAATGAGGGTGTTCCCATTAATTAAGCTTCCACAGCTCTGCAGAATGATGGTGAGCAAGGCCCACTGGTGTCAAACAAAAACAAAATAACCCACACCATTGCATTCATTAGGCACAGCAAAGATTAAATAAATGTGACAATAATCAGAAACACAAAAACATGCAACATTTTTTTCACTCACCTTGGAAAAAAAAAGGGCAAATTTGGTTTGATAGAAAAATTATGAGAATGAATTTATCTATTCCTTCAAGGTAAGGAGGAAAAAACAGAACTAAAGTCTGAAGAAGTTTTTAAAGACTTTCCTACTTTTCACAGATGAAAAGAACCATCAAAAGAACAGTTGATGGTTGAAATGAAAGTGAAAAGTCTGGCTAATCTACCACTCAGACGGCTGAGGCCAGCTCGTCCCCGATGTCGGCCATGACCCTGTGAATCCAAAGGTCCTTGTCCTCCAGTGAAGTGTCCACCAGGTAGACGGTCAGCATGCGCTTCCACACTTCCCCTTTAACCTCTGACACGTCCTGCACACTCTCCACCTGAGCTACGAGCGCTCGTTTCTCCACATGATTCCGGAATAACATGGACGTCTCCTCTGACCACTGGCGATGGGTCACGCCTGCATGAGGGGCAGGGCAAGAAAAAAGAAAAGAAAAAAAAAAAGAGTACGGGTAAACAAAGCTGAGTGTTTGGATATGAGCGACAAGATGGAGGCACGTGGATCCGTGTTTGTTTAACAGAATTCACTGCCTCAGCCATCAACTTTTAAAGGTCAACAAGTCTCTGACAGAAAATACTCAGGGCCTGCTTTGACTAAATGCAGATTATTCTCAAAGGAAACATTTAATTAAAAAAGTTATAATAAAAAAATCTAAATAAATCAATGTGTACACAGCAAAGCTGCAGAAAGGGACACACTCACCTGCCAGTTGTGCGACAATCGCCTGGAAGGGCAGCTGTCTGAACTCCTCTATCAGAGGCTGGAACAGGGTGTCGCGGACCAGCTTGCGTTTACCGTAGTCCAGCAGGTAGACGGACACCAAACCGCTGGACAGAATCCCCTTCACCTGCACACGATGCCAGCTGCAGAGAAACACCATCAAAGAACCATCTGCCATGAAGTAACAGCAACCTGGTTGTGAGTCCTAAAACGACCCCACAAAGCTGAGGCTGGGCTTTAATAAAGCCCAACACAGCCTGTTAGAGAGCCATTAGAACCATGAGTGAGCTCCATCTTCCCCCGCCGCAGCATTTTAGTCACTTACTTCTTGTCGATTTTAGCAGCGCAGATGTCTCCTTTCTGGATGTGCATGGCCGCTTTGGTGTTCTCTTTCTGGTTGTAGTAAAAGACCATCTCCCCCATCAGCACTGCCAGCTTATTCAGGTCCTGCCATGGCTGCAGCACAAAGTATCCCGGGTGGCACGCCACAGACACAAACACGTCCATGTTCTCTCCGCTCTGCGGGGAAACGAGGAAAAACCGTGAAGCGCACATTCTGAAAAGGTTTGGACTATCAGTTTAATGCCAGAGTACGATAAGATTTGTCTTCCAAATATGAAAGGTAAGTTACACCAAACCACATAATAAAAATAGCCTGTATTGACATTTGTATTATTACTGCAGACAAAAAGCTCCAAAAGTAATGGTGGCTCCTCTAGCTCCCTTTATGAACGGTTTAACAAATGCTAGTTTGGTAGACACATCATTAAAAACCTTACATGCCAACTACAACTCCTAGAAATTAATTATTCTTAAAGAGCATCACACACCTGGGGGAGCTCCAGCGGAGGAGGCAGCGGGAGTGACTGCAGCTCATCTTTGTTTGCTTCTTCTCCTTCTATTCTGTGACAGGTTTGGGTGGAGTCCGTAACCGTGGTGTTTGGGAATGATTTCCTCAAAGTCTCAACCAGAGCAGTGACTCCTGAGATAAACCCAGTGTGAGAGTTAGAGACTGGGAGTCCTATCCTCTGCCCCGTTTCCCTTTGCAGGTGCATCATTACTTGCGTTGGTGCTGCCGGTGTTGGCGTTGCTCATCTTCTGCCACAGCTCTGACTGTGCCAGCTGACGGTTGATGCTCCCCTGCAGCTCCTGACCGTCGCCCCCTCTGAACAGGTACATAAGGACCATCTTCTCGCCGTTGCACTCCTCGGATTTCACAATCTAACACAAATTAGTAAAAAAAAAAAAAAGCTAATGAAAGCCACGGCGGATCCTTTAAGTGCTGTGAGCTGTTAGATGCTGTCTGCCACTCTTCAATAAATGTGACACACTCTTATTCAGATCTCTAAAAGATATGATTTTCTCCTAAATCGGTATCTTGTTTTTCCAGAAGAGGTTAAGCTGAAGTTTAACAGGTTCCAGCCCAGATAGGTGCTGTTATTATGAGATAAGAAAAGCAATTTTTCTTCATCAGTGAGCACTCATGTTCCGACACCTTGATGAGTGTGATGTGTGTGTTTTAACACTTCTGTAACACAATTCCTATTTATACATCCTTCCTTATATACAAGATTCTACTCAAGATTTGACAGTCATTTCGTCTTTCCAAACTAACTTTTCGCATACGCTACCTTCATTTTACAGTCTTCAGCTCCCAGAACAAGCTCTTTGAGCCACTGCAGGGCTTCGTGGCTCCAGTCTTTGTCTGGAACAGCGAGCTCAGCCAGGCGACATTTAACAGCCTGGAGAGAAAACAGTTAGAAACATTTACTTGTGCTGTGAAAAATACCATTTTAGGCTAAATATTTTAACCAGATGTGGTTGATGAGCAGTCTGTTCCCAGACCACTTTAAAGAACACTAGCTAAATGATATCAGTTGCTTTTAATCTCAAGTCATTAATTTTCATTAAACTACAAATGAATTGTACAAATAAGTAAAATTTTGTGAATAATGGACAGGAGTTACGTGTCCATAAGAAACCGACCTGTGGAGGGATGACAGTGAAATCCTTTAGAAAGAGTGGAGGAACCTCTCGAAGATCAGTGATTTCTACAGTTGCAGAAACCCCAAAGTCAATGAAGAGAATCTCTATCACTCTGCTGCTGAACATGTTGGTGATCTGAAAGAAAGCAGCACAGCACATATATCTGCTTTAGATGACATTTCAGATGTGCAGGTTTTTGATATTTTGTACTTACCTCTGCCCTGGCCCACTTCCCTTTGTAGCGAGCCAGACAGTGCTTGCCATAGAACGGTCTGGACACCAGGAACTCCGAAGTGACCTGGCAGGGACAAGCACAAGACTAAAATGACTGAGGGCTCCCTAAATTCCTCTAAAGAAAAATGTTAAATGAAAAATGTGGTCAACAGCTATGGACGCAAAGTTAGAGCAGGACTGACTGGACACATCCTGCTGTAATGTCTGCCCGTGTCTGTGGGAACTACAGCTGAGACGTGACATTCAGTTATGGTGGCTAAAGGGGCATGTTTGACAACACAGACTAGAGGGAAGCATCAACTTCAACATAACTGAAACTGACACTAACTTGTGTCAACAGTATTGTTTCTGAGTGACAAGAAGATTGCCTAGAAAACTGTGTGCCTATGAATTTGTTTTAGTTTAGAAATATTCCATAATGCTTGTGAGATACAAGGTTTAAGCAGCATTTGCATTCTTCCAACTACAAGCCCTCTATAATATTTACCTTTGGTGATTTTTTACTGAAGCACCAGATGATTCAGCTATCACCAGTTTTATTATGGATAAATGAGGGTTGTTGAATTTGAAATCGTCATAGCACATAAAAAGGGATACAAACTAATTTTTCCTCTGTGCTTACAGGACTTACAATACATGTGAAAACAAACTATGTCTACACACTGCTTTGCCGTTTACCTGTGAGGAAAAATAAGCCTCTGTTTCACCCAGTAATTTTCTCAGTCTTGCGGTTCCTCGGCATGGTAGCTGACAGAACATGGTGCCATCTGCACACACATCTGTGACAGAGACGTCCTCATATAAAACGTTCCCCTGCAGGAGAAGGGATTGATGTCAGACAACCGCGTGCCTCAGTGGGCTAAGAAGTCACCACTTTGATTCAAACTGAGCTACACATCTGCACATCTTACCAAAAAACAAACAACAACTGACTGCTGTACTACAAGGCAGTAATGCGAGAAAGGAACAACTGCTCCACCCAGAGGGAAAGCAAGGTTGTGATGGAAAAGTTAAAAATGTGACTTATGCTTCCTTAATAATATGTTTTTTATGTTAGCGTACGGAGTGAGGATTGTTCATCGACTTGTCCTGCAGAGCCTTCAGGCAACAGGAGTTGATGTTGACGTCCTCTTCCTGCGACGTATCATAAAGTACGGCCACAGGAATACGGTTCTGCTGACATGGCTCTAATATTTCCATCAGCAGGATCTTCCCAACTACTGACTGATCTAAGAAGGACAGCACTGAGGGGTGGGAGCTGAATGCCTCCAGTCCTAACAGGAGGAAAACAAAGAAGGGAGACTTTTTTTGCCCTTATGCATTACAAAACAACAACCCCCCCCCAAAAAAAATAAATAGTATGTACCCGCTAGCTTAACATTATTAGCTTGGAAGGGCAAAGAGAGGAAGTCCTGGTGCAGCTCTAATAGATTCTTCCCATCAGTCTCCACAGAGAAGCCATGATCCACATAGTACACCTACCAAAGACACAACAGGCTAACCTCAAGGGTCGACACAGCACCTAGGTATTGTGAACTAAGATGACACTTAAAAAAGTGAGCAAACGGGATGAAAACTAAGCAAAATACCTCGACCCGTTGGGAGTTCAGGACTCTTAAGACTTGTGCTCTGGTCACGTCGTCTCCTTCCTCCCCTCTGACTGCTACCAGCTGACCAGCAGCGGGACGAGCCACAAGGTGCTGCGAGCCACTTTGGCTGTAGAAGGACTGCATGAGACCCTCTATGGCTTCTTGGGCGTTAGAGTAGTTCTCACCGACGTATCTAAACACGGATATATTCAAAAATGTTATAGCACTCTCTAAAATCATTAATATGGGTATTAGAAAAAAACAAAACAAAGACAAATAATGCAGTGCTGACAACTCTAATATTCCTCAGAGGGTTACCTATTTTAAATGAAATTTATTCGAACATGATACAAATATAAAAATAAAATAGTGCACAGTAGCAAGACGTGCATCAGAAAGAAGAGAAAATACAGATTTTTAGTTTCAGTTAACATATCATGCTCAATATTTTGAAAAGATAACTATCTAAAACACACTCATGTTTACTAAACTATTTGATGTACCAATGTTTTGAATCTGGGATTATTTGTTACATATCCTACTTCGGATGACAATGACGAAATTCACTCTTGTTAATGACATCAAGTCCAATCCAATAGAAAAAAGGAAAAAATATGTTCTCTAATTATCTACATTAATCAGGAACCCTCTGAATAAAATGGGTTTAAAATGCACTGGTGCTGTAGGGCATCCCATACCAATTATTTTTCTAAAATTCCCATTTCTGCTATGCAAAACAGAACAAAAAGCGGTAGATAGTTCAAAAGAGGAGAGCCAGCAGGTCGATTGCAGGTTTTGAAAACAAAATATTTCTCAGGTGTTGTGTGTTTATTAAGCTTGCTTATAGAATTGAGGTAATTGCTTCATTCTGTTGTTTTTTCTGTTTAAAATCTAAAACTCGAGTGCCACACCTTATGGTGACGCCGTTACCGCTCTTAGCCTCCGTAACCAGCACTGAGGAATACTGTCCTGATGGGGGCTTCAGACGGGGTGGAACCCGGGAACCCAGGACCTCCAGGCCTGACGGCAGAGGGCTGCTTTTGCACTGCTGGCTGTCATGGCCATTTCCCAGGTACTCATCTACTCGTCTGGACTTGTACAAGATAGCCTGACCACAGGACAGGGAATCAGCAAACACACCAACATACATTGACGTTAGCATTACAGACAGATAACGCAGGCAGGACAGAATCTCTTGAGCTCTACGGATGCAATTATAAAGACAACTGATGAAAATGTCTGTTTTTGCCCCATTAAAATCAACACTCCAACCCCCTACTTATTACCTTTTAAAAGCAGAACAGATTTAAGGCGGGGGCTTTTTTTTGGCCTGAAACTGACCCATTTTTCACTTTGTTAAGCACTAATTCATCTAATCTTCTTACCTTCGTCTTGTCCCTTGGACAGGGATACTCAATGTTACACATATCTAGCAAAAGGGACAAATTATCCAGAAGCTGATCAGGAAACGGCGTCTTATATGTGTCCATGAAAAGTTTGGGCAAAGCGTGGGCCCACAGCCCGTTGCTGTACTTGGAGAGAAGCTCTTTTATTCTCTGACGAACCTCAGCTGACACAACAGCTGCAGATGAATTTGAAGAAGGACAAGAAGCAGGGTTGAAAGCTGGCGAGAATGTGGCTTTTAACTGAGGTAAAATGTCATGATGAGGTTGGGGGGTGGAAACAGTGGTTGATGCTTGGAAAGTCCTGGAAGTGGGTAAAGTGCAACTGTATTTACTTCCATTGCTGGCACTGACTGTAAGATTGGCACATTGGGGCAGTCGCTGAGGCTGATCTGGTTTGTGGACAGGGCTTTGTAATGGAAGCGGTGACAGCATCTGGCCAGAAGATGTGTTGGCAGCCTGTGGAGGAAAAATGAAGGTGGGCTGAGCGAGGGGGCTTTTTGGGGAAACTACTGGTTTAGAAACAGTACGAGGGGGGATGGTTGGAGGAAGGTGTTCAGCTGTGGACGGGGACACTGGCGTGGGAGTGGGGAGAAAGTTGGACACTAAGGCTAATGCTGAAGGGAAGTCTGTGCTTTTTAAAGGGAGCATAGAAGCCATTGAAGGCAGAGGAGGATAGATCAATCTGTCAGCCCGGTTGGTGAAGGAAGATGTCTCCACCTGTGGGACAAAAATAGGAGACTTATAGTGCAAGGAAAACAAAACCAACCTTTGAAAATGGTTTCACAATTGTGTATAAATGTTAATGAAAATTACAAACAATACCATAAAAGCGCAATTTTTGTGGTTTTGTAGTTAAAGGTTTCTTTCTGATTACAAAAAGCCTTTTTCTGCTTCTTTTTTCTTTTTAAAACACATAGATGCTATTGTCTTACCATGCAGATGTGTGGCCACCTCTCTATGTCTGTGAGCGTCTCAGAATGGAGATTCTGATTGAATGTTTGACTGTAGACCTCTGACAGCTTGGACACCCAGAGTCCATTGGGGTACTTCTCCAGGAGCTGCTTTATTCGGCTCTGCACAAGCGTCACATCATACTGACCAGGCTGCATGAAGAGAGAATACACACGCGTGATCCCATGTGCTGAACAGCAAAACAGACTTTCCATTCCACTGGAATGTGACCGTTTGCCCTAATACCCTACATTATGTCTCGACCACTTGCATTCTACTAGTAAATATCAATATAATGTGGACAAAAAGAAGAGCAACTACAGACAAAAAGCCTCCACCTGGGATTCGCTGGGTCTGGAAACTGGCTGTAGAGGAGTCTCTTAAAAAATGCAAAATGAGAAATAATGTTAAGTTCTCAAGTTCTGATATTAAATAGTATTTTTTTTTTCAAGTTTTCACTCACCTCTGAAATTCGTATTTGTGGAGTTAACCAAGCACGTCTGTCTCCTGCTGACAACACAGTCTTTTATGACTAAAGTTCTTTAATAAAAATCAAACAGGAACACATTTAAATCTGATATAAATGTTTAATGTTATTTCAAGGCTCCGTTGTACATTTTCCACAATTCTATTATAAAATTGACCACATTGTCAATTATATAACTATAGGGAATGCTTTGGCTTTCAGTGACATTAACAGTATGGGCAAGAACTTGGTAGAAATTATTCAACTTATAAAAACTTTCCTTAAAACACTCAAAGCACAAAGGTCTCCACTCAAGCAGGGATAAAGGAGTTTTGAGTTGAGATGTGCTCATGCATTTGCCCACAGGTTTACCTGTTGGTTGTGAAATTCTGCTTTGCAGCTGGTTGTCTGTGTTCAACTGGGGTGATGGAGCTCAACTTCTGATCCAATTGCCTGATTTTTGGGAAGAACACAAGTAGTGTTCACTTCAGTTTACAAGAAACACAACTTTAAACAACCAGAAATTACCTAACATCTACCTATAGTCTCCTGCAGCACTGCAGCCACCATGGGGTCGATAATGGCTTGGTGGAAAATTTGTTTGACTTCTAGCAGATGGTTGGCGAAGAGAGGACGTTGGTCTCACTAAAGACGTACAAAAAGAAGTCCAGGTCAACCTCAACTTTGGGGAGACGGAAAAAAGTTTATCTGGAAAGAAAGTTTCTATAGCAAATAAACTAAAGGGTACGGGAAGCAAAATTTTAATCCTTCGGAAGATATGTAATATTCTTACAGTAACAACAGTATACGTTTTTCTAGAAAATAACATATTATTAGTTACATCTAAATGTTTGACAAATCCATCTCTAATTTTGACATATTACATATTGTACATATTACATTGGACCATATTATGATAAAGACGACTAAAATATGTCCTCTCCTATAAAAATGTAATCTCATGTTACTAGACATCCCACTGTGATTTAATTTTCCCACTGATTTTGCTTCAATTGTTATTTTAAAAAATCCTTTTTTCATTCATATAAATACTGTGGGTACTGTGGCTCATACCATTTAGCATGTAGGGGTTAGCAGGTCTGAATCTCATCTTGCAGTTGACGACTTTGGGACGACCAGATTTCTTAGAGCTCCTCTGTTTGGCAACCAGCTCAGCAATGTGAGCCGTTTCTTTGCACACGGCAGCGAAGCATTTCAGCTACAGAACAGACATCAGCACTGTTACAAACATATAAACCTTCCTGTAAGTGTTAGAGAGTTTCTAAAACCACAACAGACTGGAGTGCCCAAGTTCTTTGTCGATGCTCCTAAGCAGAAGAATAGGGATGTAGAATAAAAAAAGAAAAACATAAGCCCTCGGCTCCAACGGGATCAGCTCTCACCTCACCCATGTGGTATTCCAGGTGCACAACAGAGGGAATGCTTCGAAGGTAGTCCTCCAGCGCTGAGAAGCCCAGCTTCTTCAGGGGGATGCTCTTTCCACACAGTGAGCTGTACTCTGACTGGAGGTTTGTTAAAGACACGCCACTCTTGCTCGACTGGAGGACCGATCTCAACATTTTCTCTATGGACTCGCTCTCCGACATCTTGGTAGACACAGACTGACATAGAAAAAAACGGCATTATGACACTAAGTTGCCCAAAACGGCATTATGACACTTAGTTGCCCGATCTCATCAGCCTCCTACGTTTATTTGACATAATTTGATGTATATAGTTTGCCGTAGATCAGCTTCAGATAAACAGACTTGGTGATCTGCATAGGACATGACAGCCTCTAACAGACATGTAGACATTTCTGGAGGTCATCTCATTCCTCCCCTTTCATGCTGGGACCAATGCACCATGGTTCCACATTGGTGTCATGAGTGAAAGTACAAAGGCCAAATTGATATTGATATGATGTCTACAACCTATATGAAGAGATAGGTTTGGACCCATTAAAGTATTGACTACAGTAATTAAAAACAAACATATTCAGATTTTTTTAAATCAAAACTCCTCTGAAATGTTTCTTAATTACGAACTTCAGCCCATCACTAAATTCAATCTATGCTCACACAAAAAGGAAGAAGAAATTAATTGTGTTATTGAAATGATTTCTGTCCAATTGTCAGGAAGATGTAAGGTTGCTAGCCAGCATGTGCACCTGTTTTTAGTGATATAGCGGGCTGGAATTACAACAGCAATATGTGACATCTTTATGAACTAATTTTGGACCACACTTTTCTTAAAGAAAACAAAACTTCCAGTATCCTGTGGGTGTGAGCTAACGGCTAACCGTTAGCTTAAAGTTGTTTGAAGCTAGGGATATAATTCATTTCACACTATCAGACCGCACTTGATTTTTTTGTTTAACCAGACCAAACTTGTAGCACGACCCAATTAAATATTCACAAATTTTAAAACCGCTTTTCTGAATTAAATGTTAAAAGTACCTGTCTTATGTAAATCAGCTAGCAACACGGTGGTTCGCTCTTCTGTGGTCGCAGAAAAACTGAAACAACCGTTCACGCCCACGAGTTCAAAATGTCGGCCAGGTTTACCCCAAATTCAGCAAAGGGCCAGTTTTTTCATTTTGGGATACTACTTCACTTACAATGGCCTTCTGAAACCACAAAATGTATGTATTTTGAAATTTATAGAAAACGTCCGTTGTCGTGTCAAACAAATATTGACAAATGCTGCTCATGTCAGAAATGTTTTTCTTGAAGTGTATCAAAACAATTATCTTGTTTTACCTCTTTTTCTGGTTTTACTCATATTTGATAGAAATAATAAGACATAGGTTTTAGGCATTTCTGAAAAATAATCCAAAACATTAAAACTCAGTTAACCATAATGCCAGTATGGATAAGAGTACAAACCATTCATAATAATCTACAAAAAGCATTAAAACAATGATTTGTTCACCCAGTATGTTAACAACCAAGTTGATACATTTTTCAAAAAGTCTTAAAAACCTTGCTAAATCGATGTAGAGTCCATTAAACATGATTTTAAAATAAAAATGAGAAAAGGGTGATTTGCATTTAGACCGTTCCATCATTTATGCTGTGACTGGTAAATTACACACTCAACAGGGTTAATCTGGCACAAGTCCTATAGAGTTTCTTTTTAACAGTCTTCCTCTGGTGTGATGATGATTTCCGGTGGTGCGACTATTTGATGACTCTTTGTTTGCGAGACCATGGCCCAAGCCTGCACAGCTATGTCAGACTGACAGGCCGACGATGATGATGATAGGTGTTGTTTTCTCAGCAGGATTAGATGGGGGTTTTTCAGTAATGTGTACAGTAAGGCCCACCGCCTCCGGGCACGGTTATTCACAGGAGATGCTGAAATGTAAAAGCGACAGGGAAACAAAGTTGAGATTGCGCCTAAGTGAAAACTTAAAGATTATTACTGTTCACGTTCAAAAGACTCTTCTTCAAACCTGATTCAGAATTTTCAAATGACGAGTATGTGGGGGCATTGTGCTGCTCCAGTGTTTTGGAGACCAGCAGCCGACAGAAACACACCATAACTGGATTGTTATGGTAGTGGTCAGCAAAAATCATCCCAATCCACGTACTGTACCCTGGCAAATGTAGGAAGTAAAGTAAGAACCGCAAAACAGTTCTGAGTTAACACAGTGCTATCTTATGATTGAAAAATTAAAAGGTTGTTGTCGATGCCATATTGTGGTCGTTTTTGTTATTGTTGAGCACATGCCAAAGACACACATTTCTGGCAGATTTTAAGTATACCTGCATCCATGGTTTCATATCCCCTCTGCATTATAGTCCGGTCTATGCGGGACACCAACCACGTCCCAACCACAATACTAAGCAGCAGCCTCATTATGCAGGTGGAGATTCCCATCACCACGTTGTAGTAAAAAAAGAAGTAGTTGAAGCAGTGGAATGCCTTCCTTGGTTGCATGAGAAGGAAAGATTATATTTTGAGTAAAGGTATCCAGTTTGACTCAGCACAAATTTAGCTATAATCAAAATTAAGATGATGATTCCATAGCTTTCAAATCATAACATGTATCATTTATATTATCTTAAATATACCAACCTGTTGTTTAGGGCCAGTGGCTTCTGTTTATCTGTTGGAGCCATTTTATCTTGAAGGAAAAAGACCTGAACCAGAACTACTTGGAGGATCAGTAAGCCGACCACCAGCCCAATAGTTAGACTGAGAGAGACAAAAGAAATGGAAAAACTCAGCAGGTGTTACCACTTTGCAAAGTCACACATTGAGAAGCCTCACATTATTATTCCCAGGTTTGAGAGCATGCTGTGTACTTCTCCCCGCTGGATAGGTAGAACCAGTGCATAGACCAACAGCAGAGCAAACAGAAAGTGGACAAAATGGACGATCAGGTACCCTAAACAAAAGAGATAACATGTCCATCCCTGCAAATAAATACTCTGCAACAGAATCAGGATTCCTTTTCGATAACAACCACATCTGTTTGTTGAATTATATGAAGTCAAAGCATTTGAATAAATAAATGAGTTTATCTTTTTGACTACTGTATGTTTTTAGGTCCAATATTCTATCATTTTAATCTCCAGACCGTGTTATTATGTTGAAATAAAATATCCAGGTGTTTAGATCAGGAAAACCTTACCCCATAGTGTAAAAGCTATTTGCCATCCAGAGTATCTTGCAATAGAAGCCTGTGAAATATAACAAATTGTTTGTGCATGTCAAATGGATCCTAAGAATTAAAGGTAACATGCAAAGGCAGACAAAATTGTTTCTGCATGTGCTCTCTGAATAGCTCAACATAAATGTTTACATATCCTGAAATTGCCCGTGAAACTGTAACTGAGTGGGTTTTACTTACCACACTAACAGCCGACTTAGGGATGTGAAATTTCTCAGGAATAAATCCCTTTTGTCCCTTCCAAAGTCTCTTCAAGTGTTTCCTTAGAAAAAAGTTAATGATGTAAATTAGTGTAAAAAGTGCAAAAAAAAAACTGTATGCATATAGTACAAACCATATGATGGAATTTGCATCTGCTTTGAGTTTGCATTTCGTATAATCTATTTTCTACCTGTAACAAGCCAAGATATGGAAGGTGTAAGCAACAGAGTTGAGACTTGCAAAGATTGTGGTGGCAAGCCAAGACCCTGGGACATACACAAAAGAAAGAAAGGAAGAAAACATAAATGTATTAAAGGACATTGATAAAAACATAAGAAGGAAGACTGAATTAGGAGAAAATTCCCCAAAAGCTTCAGAATTTCAGCTTCAAAAGCCATAAATACACGCTTCCAACTTTTTCGGTGGAACAACTTACTCCTGGCCACATCAATGAATTCCTCCAATTGCGGTATCATGTATCTGAGAGATTCCGTCTCATTACAAGAGTTAACCAGCTGTTTTAGTGTGTCCTTATAGTGTTCTATCTGGTGAAAGAATTCATCACTGACTATGTAATCAGCCAGTGTCATCTAGAAGAACGCAAAAACACACACAAACACAGATGTTTGATATGCACAAAAAATATATCAATTGGGCGTCACTGCAACATAAGGTAGGATTTTCTTTACCGTGTACAGGCCTATTAGAGATATAACCACAGTGCCTATGATCCTGCTGGGAAACTTGAAGTGGGGATCCCATTCATACACTCGTCTCTGGAACCAGCTGAGGCGTTTACTGCAACACAGAGGGTGAAAACATCCGATTCATGTGTGTGTAAGCATGTGCAGCTGCACTCAATTCTGTACAGCTCGTCCCCCCAAAAAGCTAATCACAGTTGTCAGTGTTCTATTATAAGCAGTTCAATTCGTCTTTATACAGCTTGAGGTTCCATTATGTAATGATTCTGTCCTGTCCATTTGACAGGGACAATGAAAATGTGTGTGCAGAAAACTCCACTTCCTGTTGGATCTTACCTTATTCGATTACAATAGTTTCTCTTTTTTTTTAAACTGATTTTTCAGTCTTTTTCACTCCTGTATTTGTGGCTGTGTTTTTACAGAAACTACATTACTAGCATTTTATCTTGCTGTATACTATGTTTTCTACTTGAAGAATGCCTCTGGGTCAGTGACAGCGTGAACAGATCCCCAAGCAGGTGTAGAAAATGTTTTTTTTAAGAGAGGTTGAAAGCACTAGATAACCCATAGCCTCATTAGTATGTGTGTAGATGAGTTTGTGTACCTACCTGTGCTCAGGTTTTCTGAGCAAACGCTGAACATGCCGTGTCAAGTGTTGCCCAGCTTTCTCTTCAGGGTGCTGAAAGGAGATTTAACAATAGGTATTTTTTCCTTTTTTGGCAGACTATTACCCAACATAACAACATTTCTTTGTGGAGCCTAGATAACTGAATTAATAGATTTAAAAAAGCATGGACAAAAAACTAAACAAAGACATGTAATATCTAAAATCTTGTGCAGCGCTTTTCCAAAACTGCAACTTATTCAACATACTGACCTCTGGTTGTAGTTTCAGACGTACAGAAACATCTTTGACCAGTATGTAAATAAATCGTCCCAAGAGGAAGATCAGCGAGAGGATGCAGGGCCACTGGGAAATTATCTTCTGGTATTTACCCAGAGGCTTTAAAATCATAGACACAGCCATTAACCAATCATTATCACAAAACACTAACAGCCATTCTCAAAATGACGTGTTTGGCATGGTCTAACATAGTTTGGTTTTGGAAACCCCTTAGTGTGATTACTTGGTTGTACATATGATCAGCTACCACATCACGCCTTGTTTGGTACCCAGGTACTGTACCTTACCACTGGGACAGGTGAATGTATCCCAGGTGGTGACAGTGATCCTACAAACAAAACAGAATGGTCTTCTGGTAAACAGGTAAAAAATTACCTGTTGCATCTTTTTTATTGGCTATGATTGCAAAAGTCACGAGGTGGTGAGCATATGCTACATGTCAATGTTTACCAGGAGAGAGAGTATAATATTCCCAACACTGCCCCGGCCATTCGGAATGGTGTGGACAAACAGGCAAAAAAAGGGAAGTACGCCAGACCCACTTCTAAAGCTCCGACCAGGTACACAATAGCTGAGGTGAACAGTGAGAAAACATGCATTGATAACATGCTCATACGTGTGCGAGACAATAGTCACGGAGAACAGGTTTGTACCTCTGGCCCAGGATGGGAGACTGAAGGGAACATAACTTTCAGAGAAGAGCAGCAGGACACTGCTCGACACGGCACCAAATGCAAATCCATAAGACCAGCGATTGCTCAGGCTGCCTATGGTGTCCAAAGGCCTGGGGCACAATGAGGAGGTAAGAGGGAAGAATCCGATAGTTACACGTTGTGATAACCTAACCTCAAGTATCTTTTCCCTCTGTTTTATTTCAGTGTTTTTTTTACATCATCTTTAACTTACACCACAATTGCAAAACGTCCCTCCAAAAATGGCAGCCTGTGGTCGATGGCCAGCCTCTTGGCTCGCCTCTGGAGAAATGACAGCACTCCTGCAATCAGCACCTGACAGAAAAGATTTCAGAACATGAAACAAAAATGGAACTCAGCACAAAATGGAAAGCGTCATGTGTCAGCTAAGCGTCAGCTAACATTTATGTTAAGAGAACACAACATGGCAGCTCCAACCTCAGAGATAAGTGATGTCTTACTGTTGATTCAGGAAACATTTCCACCCACTTGTACCCACACATACTACTCATTAATCAAAGCATTAATCCTGGTATTGTGTGGTCCCAGTTCTTTGTGAGCCTTCATAGAAATAATTTAATTGATCCCACACCTCCTTTTTTGGAAAAGACACGGAACCGTCTAGGTCCCTCCACTGTTGGTTAAGGTTGGTTGGTGTGGAATAAAAACCAAATAATAGCATTTGTCATGCATGAACAAGATGTGATTGGGATTTGACCAACATATACATTTTTAAAAATAGAGGGAGACATATTCCGTGAAACAAGACTCACTCTTTTGTGTTACGGACTGAAGTATAAGATTCAAGGTAAAAAGAGAAAAGAAAAAAAATCAACTTACTGCTGGAATGAGCGAGAGATGCAGAAAAAGTTCCACTGAGATTTTACTCTGACAATCCTTGATTGCAGAGGTTGTGGAGTTTCTGAAACGGCATGAACACCAACCTTAATCCTCCTAAATCCTTGAAAGTTCTTCAGGAAAAAAGCATCTACTCGATCCATAAATGTAATTGTAAAAATCTAATATAACAAATGGGGGCACAGAATGAATAGTTAAATAGTCGAGTTACATAACCAGAAGTGTCTACAATCAGAATTAATATATCAAAGGTTTGTAAGGCATCAACAAATATTCAGCTTCAGTTAAATTTTTAATAGAAAAAGACAGCATGATAGTTTCCGTTTCGTATTCCTCTGACCTGTCTCTGAACTCGAATTATTTGAAGTCCGTACTTACAAGTATTTCTCTGTGTTTCTTATCATCATTGATAAGTCAGCTCACTGATGCCGAGAGAGTCTGTATTTCTGCTCCACTCCAAAGAAAGGAAGTGAATGTGGACTGAACTAGCTTCTCCGTTTCCTGGTTTCAGTCATGTGATTCTTTTGACCTTTGACCTCAGGGAATCAACAGTTTCTATCTTTTATTTTCAACATTCTCTGTTTGTCTTGTTCCGACGTCGTTGTTGACATACTGTACTCTTGAGCCCGTCCACATGCCTTTCTCTTCCAAAGCAAACACACAGAGGCAACACTGGCCGCCGTGTTACTCGGGATATGGAGTATAAACAGTGAGCTCACCCATCGATATGTGCAGCTAATCATTTACGTACACTTTCCCCTCACTGAGGAAGGTGATGCTGCATTTTCAGATTCAGTGAAACAGTTTTATTACAGGCCTTTATGCTCTAGATTGTTTCACTTGTCATGTCCTGATGAGCATTAGTTTAACTTGCTAAATTCCTGTTAGAAGAGGCCTGTAACCACATAGTCTGAATGTCACCTAGAAGTAAAAGGAGTTTTCTGTTGCTGAACTGCAAAATGTTTAAGTCAGAAGGCAAAGCCCATATACTTTCTTATATGACACACCGTAACGGCTCTGACCTTAAAATTACGCAAGTTTATAATATCAAAGGTGAAATCGAGCCCTGACGAAACGCGTCCGGTCTCAGAAGTTGTTGTTCTAACTGTTGGGACTCAATAACAAGACAGTTTTGAGTCTTCAGAAAGTGGTCAGTCTCTGGAATTTTACCCGGCAGTCTAATTGAACAAATAATTTCTACTCAGAGCATACACCCAATTCAGATCATTTCTCAGTAATCAAAATCAATCCCAAATAAGTAGAATAATGAGCTGCATATGCTTACATGTAATCTCAATTTTCTTTTGCCAGTGAGATACTGAGCAATTCTCTGTATAATATACTTTTCTGACCTGTATGGTCACGATTATACAATGAAAAATAATACCTAAAATAATTGCTAAATCATGCACCACCAGCATCAGCAGCTGTACATTTCTCACATCTTTCAGATAAACCTAAACCGGACGTGGCCAGTGTTCATGTGGATTTTATTTCCCAGTACAGACGAGAGTGAGAAAGATCCAACTTTCGGTCTTTGTCCATCTTCACATCTACTAAATGATCACAAACACACTGATATTTGAATGTTTAACTCAATGACATTTATTTGGAGCAGCTGATGTCCTCCTTTAGGATCTTTTTTTGCTTGATCCTGATTGGCCACTTGGTGATAACCAGCCGTGCACGTCAGCAGCTTCCCTCTTTCACGACCAAAATGTCCATCTTGGTTAATCTGAGGAGATAATCATAATATGACATGACCTTGATTCACTTTGTCTGACTTCAGTTTAGTTTAGTTCTGTGTCAACATGATTAAATAAAGAACGAAGCAAGACATTCTTCTGAGATATCAGGCTTGTTATCTGACAAATTTGTCACATTGCATAAGTTTTTCTCTAAGCAGATGAGAGGAGAGGAAAGTAAAAATGATCAAATCATTTTATAGATAAGTGGAAAACTGGCAACCATTTGCACCAGCCACTTGAATTATTTCACCACTAGAGGGCAACATAAGCAATTTATTTTCTTTGGTCAAAGTCGAATGACTTTTGGTTGAACTGTTGTGTGAATGCCAAGGGTGTGAAGCAGCTGTGTGTACTCACTGTCTCTGTGCACAGAGGGTACACTCGTTGCCGTAAGTGTTTCCATCGCTGCCACAAACTGGAGCGAAATTCATAGGGCACGCAACTATCTCCTCCATGTCAGGAGGACAAGCAGGCTGCCAGAAACAGACATGTTCTAAGTTTTAAAGATGCATAAACGAGAACGATTCTCTCTGTGTTTGTTTTTCTGAGATTGAACACAGCATATGACAAAACATGCAACCATTTTAACTCTATAGGTTTCAAGGAAATAGATCCATGTCACCTTTCTCATGAGTCCAGACTTGACCGCTGCATCTTTAAAACAAGCAGACACTTATTCAAATCAAGAATACAACAATCCCAGTTTGTATACTACAACATAACCACCAAGCTCATGTACTCGCACACTCAAACTATTCCTGGCTTACTAAATTCACTGCACTGAAACTGATAACTTAACAGCAGGTTGGAAGTAGAAAGAGGGAACTGCTAAATGTGATATCAAATTAAGATATTCCAGTCCATTGTCTGTAAAAGCATGAAAATAAAGAGTAGTCTATGTAAATCACTGTCAAAGAAGTTTCTCTCTGTATTTTTTCAAATTGTTCAGCTGTCTTTTATTATTCAAAACAAAGTTTAAAACAAATTATGCCTAAAAGCAGCTTCCTCTCAAATTGTTTTTCATGTTTACCTGTAATGACGCAGAGGAACAGCAGTCCCAGCAAAACAGCTCTCCCGGTCATGTTGGGTGAATAGCTCAGAATAACAGATAAGTATGAGTGTGTCTCTGTTTAACTGGCAGATTAATTGCTTGTGGGCGTATGTGTATGTGGGAACGGAACAGATAAAAACAGACGGACAACCCCTTACAGACTATAAATGCAAACATCAGCACACAGTACACATTCACACACACATACGCACACACAAACATTAAATCGACATATTCTTTATTTGATCAGTGGCTGTGAACTTTAAGTCACCATTTTCTTTCTGAATGTATCGAGCAAACAAAAGCTGTGAACTAAAAACAAAGGATGACTAAATGAGGAGTCTTTTTTTCAAAATGTATGAATTTTATTAATGTAAAGAGTAACTATGCACAATGAATAACAGACACAAACAACTTTAATACTTAAAAATGTAAACAAATAATAACATTGAGCACAAGAAGAGAAATTTCCCCTCAGAACTGCTCTCCATTTCTCTATGCATGTCTCTACTGTCTCTGCTTTTCACCATTTCACGAAAGCAATTGCTCTCTATTTCAAGTTTGTAACTATTCTTTTTTCGTCTCTATTTTTATCTCAATCACATTTTTGTTTCAGAGCAGAGATTTATTTATTTATCTTTTATGTTTTACGTGTACATCTTTACTTCTATTTAGTGGAAACAAAAGGCTGCTAAGCCTATAAAGTGCTCAAATTCTTTCAAAAAGAAGAGTTTCGAAGGACAAGGATCAGATCCTCAGTTGGTACGAGATAACAGAAACCCTTTCCAAGATTTGCACAAAACAGAGCACCTGCAATGATGACCTGTCATCATTTTAGACCCTGGATGTATATTTGTTTTTATTTTGGAATATAAAGCATTGCAAGCACAATTCTTGTGGTCCTCAGGTTCAATCTGGCCAATTGATTAGCTCTTAAAAGCAATTGTTGGACATATCTCAGCCTCTACATTTGTCTTCTGTGTGGCAGTTTAAGGATGTGGACAGACAAGATCAGAGTTTGGCAACAACTCAATAGGACAGAATGAATCTGCAGCCAGGTTAGGATGAATGAGAGAACACACCTGTTTTCAGGTCTCCTGCTGTCCTTTGAGCAGCTGACAAAGAGAAGTTTTATGACTGACCTGATGGGTGATTCAAAGTATAAGTTTAACTTTATAAAAAATGTTCTTCCAGAAGATCATGCTGGTTGGTCATAGATACACATTCATCTCCTTTTGGCACAGATACCTTTACCTCACTTTACTGGTAACGTCACATTTTGCTACTATACATAACATCCATATTGGTTCAGTTCTGATGTGTTCCCCTCATGCCTCCACACAGGAAGTTTAGAAAACTGATTCAGTGTGTATACAAAACCAGATTAGGGTTTACCCTACCTGCTTAACATAATTTTGGTTCATTGTATTGATACACGTGTCAGTAATCTGACAGAAGGTAAGCAGAAGTCAGTCCCATCCATTCTTTCAAATGTGGATCTGTAGACATGCTTTGACACACACACACACAAAGCGGTGATATTCAAAGGTGTGTGGTTCAACTGAAAGCATGCAGTACATAGTATATTTCCGTTTTGTGTCTTTAAATAAAACTGATCAGTTCCATTCAAAGACGTCCGGATAAATAAAATCAAACCAGCACAGTAGACTGCACATCTTGAACACACATCAAAGAGTCACGATTTTTTTGTGTTTTCATTTTGACAGAGAACTACACATTTGAAAATGTTGCAACTGTTGGTTTTTTTCTCCATTGTGTGTGTGCTTGGATGCATGTCGGTATTGGTCTAATACATTCCTTGGCAGCCTACATACATTGTTACAATGGAGTGCTCAAATGTTCTCCCTCCACTAGTATAGGCACTGAGCTGGTCAATGTTAAGGACACCATAACGACACATAGAAAAGTGTTAGTAATCTGAATTGTTACCCAGAAACAAGGAGAGGACTCTGTAGAAGAACTGTGTCTCTAACATGAATTTACTAAAAATGAATTAACTGAAGATTGCACAGACTTTTTTTGTTTTTGTTTGTTTATCATTATTTTCATTATGAAACACCTGCGCTTGGTAACGAGGAAAACTTGACCTGAATAAAAAAGTCTCTCAACAGCTGGCAGTGAATGATCCACATGATTTTGTTTTCCATTCTCATGAACTCGGCAGAGTGGCATGTTTGCTGTCCCACAGACTACCTTTACTACGTCGAGAAATTGGGAGGAACCTTTCACAATTTCTCCATCAGTCCCAGTACACATCTTTAACATTGAGTAACAATGAGAAACAACCAGACTTTCCAGTCGAACACAGAATTAAAATCCTGTCCTTGCTTGAAGTGTCTTCTTTCTTCCAGTCCACCAAGTGAAGGAGAAGCACCTGTCTTCAACCCTCACGGGAATATCTTTTTTTTAATCTTAAATACACTTATATATATGTGTTGCTTGCATTGATTTGCATTGAGTTTTTCTTGTTTCAGTGTCAGTCATGATACCTGCAGTCCTTGCCTTAGAAAAAGGCTGTGCGCTGAGGTGCAGGCCCACTGAAATGATAACAATTAAAACAAGACTAAAAAGTAGAAATAAAAAAATGAACATAGTTTTTCTCCTCCACAGATCCGTGGTCCATATCTCTTATCTGTGGGGAGTGTGGATGAAGCATAACAACTCCCACTGATGGATGTGGAATCAGACGCAGCTCTCCCTGGTCTTGTTGTCCGTGAGGAAATTATTTAGCTGGGAAAAGTCCACTACAACTGCGTCCCGCTTGCTCAGATGGATATCTTTCAGATGGTCCTCATCACTTTGGTCCTTGGCAAAATTTACAAACACCTGGAATGAGGAAAAAAGGGGAAAATAACATTAGATGTAATGTAATTTACAGTCACACTCATGGTCATGAAAAGAGCTTTAGTTATGCTTGCTTACTTGGTCTAAAGTGGTCTGAGAGACAGAATAGTCCTCTATACTGAGTGCCTCTTTGTTCGTTGAGAGCAGAGAAAAGATTCGGGCAAGGGAGGTGAGAGATGAAGGAAGCTGGTACTGAAGCATGTTTCGATGCTTTTCCTTCAGAGTGCTCCCTGGTAGCTCGTGTTCAATGAACTCCATCACTGGCCGAAGGTCTGGATCTGGCCCCGCCACTCGAAGGATGATGGTGTATCCATCACCAAACCTGATCGCATCAATCATACACAAACATTATTTAACATATAGACATAACTCTTTGTTTTGGAACAGTTTAAGCTCAAACGTCTGTAACTGTATATTTGCTGTTCATTTATTTTTGCCCACACAAATGAGAACATTGCAGATTACTTTTATGTCATGAGAATTAGGAAAGAAAAATAACATGTTTGTGAGTTGTGAGAGCTTTTGTTGTGTGTGCCTACCTGTTTTTGAGATGTTGCACACTGCCCAGACAGCGGAACCTGCCGTTAACCATGATGGCCATCCTGGTGCACAGTGCCTCACACTCCTCCATACTGCACGAGCACGAATACAAATGAGTTAAAGATGTTTCAAAGTGGATAAGCATTGTAAGAAGTCAGGAGTGTGTTTAAATCGATTGGAAAAAAACAAAAGAAATATGTTTATGTACTACATATTCAAGTGAAAAGCTCCGTCTAACCTGTGGGAGGTCAGGACTACAGATCGTCCCTCTTTGATGATACTCAAGATGGCATTCCAAAGTGCACGACGTGCCTTCGGGTCCATGCCTGTCGTTGGTTCATCCTGTCAATAGATTATAGACAATCAGCCGCTGCTCAACAGATTTCAAGGGGTTGTCGAAAAGTAAGGAAATTTAAGCCTTTGTCAGGCTTTGGGAAACTGTTCTTACTGACCAGAAAAACAACAGGTGGTCCTCCAATGAGGGCGATAGCAGTTGACAGTTTCCTCATGTTTCCTCCGCTGTAGCTGCCAGCTGCTTTGTCCACATATTTGACCAAACCCAGCTTGCGGATTCCCCACTCCGCCACCTAGTGGGGGGGGACAGAGTTATCACAAGTGTCAGTCTTTCCCTTGGGAAACTCAAGAATTTGATGAAAATGCAATTCTTATTCGTATGTCTTGTGTTTCAGTTAGATGTTATGAGAGTCAATATATAGCACTATGTGCATGCTGACCTCACAAACTTCCTTCTCAGGCACCCCTCTCAGGATAGCATAGAATTCGAGGTGTTCTCTGCCAGTCAACAGGTCATTGATAGCATCAAACTGAGGACAGTAGCCCATGTTTTGATGGACCTCGTCAATCTCTGCTGTTACACTGAAATGAGAGAAAACGCATAATAGTAAGTTAATTAGCTTTACAGTGAGAAAAATCAGATTTAGTATTTTGTGTGCGACAGTGATCTTGTCTCATATCTCTTACCTCTTGCCTGCCAGGTAGGCCTCTCCACTGGTGACTATGGAGTCACCTGTCAGCATTTTGAAAGTGCTGGTCTTGCCTGCTCCATTCACTCCAAGCAAACCAAAACACTGCAGGAGAGGAACAAAAGATTTGTTTCAATCTTGCACGATACATGTGAAACTATATTGTGGTTTTATGCAACGGTTTAGTATGTACCTCTCCGGGGGGAATGCCGACACACAGCCGATCCACTGCTGGCTTCTGTTTCCGCTTGTAAATCTTGGTGAGCTGTTTCAGTTCCAAGATGTCCGACTGTCCTCCACCACTTAGGATCCTCTGTCGCTCTCTCGCCACATCTTCATCTTCCTCTCCGATTGGTTTCAGATGGCTGATGGATGATCTGTGGGGTGACAAATATGGGATGTCACATTTCAGACAGACTTACAGGAGGTTTTAGCTCTAAATTCAATTCAATTAAACTCAATTTAATTTATTTACAAATAACAACAACAGTTATCTCACAGTGCTTTCAGACCCTACTCTGAAGTTATTTACAGAAGCCCAGCAAAGGCAATCATTTTCCTATATGTAAAGTTAAGTATAAATCAGTCAGCAGTTTTGAATATTGATGTTTTAGGAGAGGTGTGACATGAAGAAATCACATGTTTAACCAACCTGGCCTTGAAGCAGAACCGGTACTGAATGAGGACAGTAATAGAGAAGAAGATAACTCCCTCTATGGCCATGGCAAACAGGTTTTTTCCCACCATGTCCCAGGCTAGAGGAGACCGGAACCTGTTTTCACCTACAACAGAAACAAACTTTCTTTAGTCTTCATTGTTAAAGCCATTAAAAACAAATGCTTTAAAACTGGTCATGAAGTTTTTCTTGTACTAACCAAATCTCTCCAAAGCATCTGCCATGGCCTGATTCTTTACCATGTCAATCAGTCCTCTACCCAAGCAGAAGTGAGGGAAGATGAGGAACACATTCTTTAAGATGTCATTGATGCCACCGACCTCCTTTAAAACAAATCCAACCACATAATTAGTTAATTTTCCAACAAAAAACAACCAGAACCACAATAACCACCTAGTGATGGTTACTTACATTGCTTCCAAACAACTCCAAAACAAATGTGGACACACTTCCATTAATTCCTATCAGTATGTTGACACTAGTGAGAACCACATAGGCTGTGCTGGGGATCTTAAAGAAGAAGGAGGCTGGGTACATCAGAGGGGTGATTGACCATCTGGAAAAGGCCAAAGTATCATTTTAGATGAGTAAAGGCTTGACAAAGATTTTTTTTTAAAGAACAATGCGGTTGCCAAAGAATCTAAGCATTTGTCCAAATTACCCGTAGAGAAGCAACAACAGGGCCAGCACTGGCAGATTGGTAGAGGAGACGTAGGCATCTTGTTGGAAACACACAAATATTATGATGACCAGGGTTGCTGGAACGATGTAGTTACACTGGAAGGCAGACAAAAAGAAGAGTGAGATAGAGTCTACCATCGGTTCTATTTCCTTTTAGTAATCGAGATTATGATCAGGAACATTATAACATTTTTGCATTAGAGGGGAGATGATTGGGAAATATCTTACCATATCCCAAACAAAGTTGGCCAGCCAGTAGAGGAAAGGCTGCACTCCACTGATGAAATGCATATGTTTGGCCTTGTTCACTCTCTCTTGGATGAGGAAGACCACGAAACTGGCAGGGACAAAGGACATGGCGAAAATCACGCAAATCGACACCAGCACATCGACCGATGTGGTCATCCTGGGAATGAGAAAGGGAAAGAAAACAATAAGAATCCGTGGGAATTCACCAAAGAAAAAGTCAAAATGATTATTTCCATTCTGCATGATCTCCTACATTCATAGTAGTACTCACAATGCGACTTGCGACAACTGCTCCTTGGTGAGATTCAGAGGATGATTGTAGGCAGTTATGCCAAACTTTGCGGGGTCTTTTCCAGTTGGCAAACTCGCACGCAAGATGGCATTGTTCATCACATTAAGGAAAGAGCCAATGCTGTGCCAGCCTTTGTTGTTAAACCAGATCTGTAAGAGAAAAGGTTGATTTCAGGTATAGTTTCTCTGCAGACATGCACACTTTGAATATCTACAAGATGAAAATACAAAACAGAAAGTTCTTTTACTAATATTATTTTCATTCTCTTCAATTTGCTTATAAATTAAAACATGAATAAATAAGGAAAAACGTAGGCAGCAGAAGCTTGTTCTCACTTTGGAAAAAAATTGAAAAACCTGAAGTGGGAAAGTGCTTTAATAAACAAGTGGACGTGTGAATGTTAGCTAACCTTGACGTTATTCTTGGAGTCCAGTCCTTGGACAAAGCTGGAGAGACTGCGAAAGAAACGATCTGATGCCGTTCCCTGGAGGATGGGTAAAGCAGAAAGGAGAGACACAGAGAGATAGAGAATGAGGATAGTCTTCTTTTGCACATGAGTAAATGGACTCTGCCCACCTTTGGATCTAAAGTCTAGAATTACCACAGCTCCAAGTTTCCACATATAAACACTATCCATATTCCTTTAAACTCTGACTAACTCAAACCACAGTTTGCTCCTTGATTTAAAAAGTTACTGCGGACCATTTGAGTGAAAGAGCCTATAATAGTCTTACCCTCTCAAGATGGAAGCGTTTCCTCAGCTGAGCTATTGCCACGTCAATTTCATCTTTGTGGGAAAGAACCTGGGAACCTCTGGCACCCAGTGAGAATCCACCATATCTGTAATAGACAGAGTTCAGCAATTTTGGTCAACTGAAAGTCAACTAAACAACATCAATATCATTTTCAAGAGAAAGAATTACAGATGCAATGTGTCTGATAACATACCTGAACTCATTGACCCAAATTTTGTTCTTCAGACTGTAAGACAGATAAACATTATCAGTTCATCACATATGTAAAACTATGAGTGAGCGAATGTCGAAGAGAAAATAATGTTAGTAGGAGTCTTACCTCTTGCCAATGATCTGAGCATAAGTTTTAACCAGATAGTCGGACACATTTCTTCCCGTCAGGTTCTGCAGAGTATCTTTATCGCTGATCCTCATCTGTGTGCATAAACAAGCAAATTAGTTCATTAATGTGCACTTAGTTGTGTGCGTATAAAGATAGATGATGTCATAACTGGATCTGGGTTTAAATGTAAAATTTGTCACTAACCTGTGGTGGTGGAAGTCCACCGGCCCCAGCAGGACACTCGGGCAGCATTCGCTTGCGCCCGCCACAGCTGCACTCACACAGGGGTGATGGATTCTCCATGGTCCAGTTTCCTTTGTCAAACATATCCGTCAAAGACTGGGACACTTCAGGCAGCAACCAGTCATCTTCAACTGCAGTACAGGGGGTGTCTCTGCAGGCAAGTGGGAGAAGAGTTAACATTTTTAAATATCATGATAATGTTTTTTGGTTTACAAAACTGGTTTAATGCATATATCTACAGACTATATGACTGTTAAGTAAACTTTTTTCATAAATACTCACGGTATAGGCTCTCCTTTCATGCAACGGGTTCCAAAACCTGGTTTTTCTATCAGAGCTCCAAGTAGTTTGTTGGTGTGAGGGTCTTCAGGTATGTCATTACTGCAAAGACAGATTTTTATCTTAAGTTTCAGGCTCAATGGCTCAAACTTTAGAATTGTCTACAATCATGAAATACAACTAATACAAACTAGACACCACTAAGACATGTGGTTTAAAAGTCCCACTATTAAAGTCTGACGTTATAAATCTTTCAAATTTCGTTTCACCCCTTGGCACTTACAATAATAGGTATGCTCAAAGCACTTAACAGCACTCTTCTTGGATTTAAAATGCTTTGGAAACATGCAGACTCTGCCATGGTTATGTAATGTTATACATTTTTCATGCGTTATGAACTTTGGAGATCGGAAAAGGAATACTTTATCAAAAATATATGATTTCTCAGTTCTTTTCCTGTCACAGGAGAGAGTGATCTGACTGAGGTTGACTTAAGGTAAAGAACTGACGGCCGTTACTGGAATGAGAGTCTGTCTCAGCTGTGGGGAAGGATGTCTCACCTGATGAAGCTAAACTGTTCTCCGTACATACTGGGATGCAGGGCAAGACTGGGGTACTTTCCAAATGGAGGAACAATCAGGCTGAATGTGAGGGCAATGCACACAAACACTGCTGGAAGAACAATCTGAAAAACACAAAAATGGAAATGTATTATTTAAAAAATGGACACAAATTAGGAATCAACACTTCCAAGTCTTTGATAGCTCTGCATGGTTTGTGCAAAGAACTGCCTGGAGCTGATGAAAATTTAAGTAAAGCTGATACATAAACAACAAGTATCATTTTACCTGAGCAAAGAAGCCTTTCCTGGAGCGGCGTGCGTAGAGTAATCGTTTCCATAGCAGTGCAACAAACTGCTGTCGCTTCAGACTCCAACCTTTGACCTGGTATGAACCTTTGCCGTCTGTTCCGCTGAGCCAGTCGGTTTCACGAGATTCTGGATCCAACAAAGTGATTACATTTACAACATGAAATAGTAAGAACTAGTTCAAAATAACTAAACGCATTTAATTTGCAATGTGATGTTCCTAAATATTTGATTTTTAAAAAAGACTTCAGATGAGATCCAAACTAAAAGATCCTAAGAATGGAAGCAACACGACGGTTGCTTTCTTTGTACTGCATAGTTGGTAGGGCAGTTCTACCTGGATTACCTTCAGAGTCATTGAAGTCAAAGTCATCCTCTGTGAAGGGCTTTAGGCAGCTCTGGTGATCTCCAAACGCATGACGGCGACGAGTTCTGGTTGGCACGACTCCATCTGCAGCATCATAAGAGTTGACGCGTTCATTTGAATGTGTTAGCTTAAATTATAGTTTTTCATTCAAACATTCAGGGCTGTCTCACAATAGATAATCTATATTTTGGCTCTCATTTCTCATTAAAAAATTCAGATCTAATTTCTTTCTTTAATTTCTCTTACACACCCACAAATGAACACTATCAACTAGATTTTACAAACTCATCATGAGTCATTAATCTTACCTGAAAGTTCAACAGCATCCACTCCACTGTCTTCCGCCACTTTCAGAAAAATCTGCAGAGAAAGAAAGTCGATAGAAACAAAGGCTTTAATAAGATCAGATGTAACACTACACAAACACTCCTGCTTCAGACCGTGTTGTCTGTGAAATGCTGAGTGCACTCCTTGCCTCCTCCAGTGTAGTATCAGATATTCCGTAACTCGATATTCCCAAGTCAGTGAGACGGTCATCAAGTTCATGGAACAGCTCCACAAAAGCGCCGTCTTTTGCAGACTGGTACGGCAGGACGTAAGTGAGTTCATGGCCGAGGTCTTCCACCAGGCGAGCTTCGGAAACATGCTTGAAAATGACGTTGGAGATGAGGGAGACATCTGTGGGAAGCAAAAGCACAAGAAGGGAAAATTGGTTGTTTCATTTATATTGTAAATGTAAATTTCATTTTATAAAATGGATCTGAGTGGCTGTCAGATCTTACCAATGGTGGTGGTTTCACTCTCTGGTTCACTGCCCAGACCAGCATCTGAACTGCTCTCCGATACACTGTCCTCCTGAATAAATTAAATCGACTCAATAAATCTGTAGATATACAGTACCGAGAACACGCTTTTTGTACGTATGCACTGTGTTTGAGAATCGTATGATAGGAAAATGACAGTGGTCTTCTTTATATCCTTTTACTGTACCTTTTCTGTTTTCTTGCTGTAGGAGACTGTGCTGGCAGAATTACGGCAGGACTGTAAGGTCAAGTCATAGTCTCTCTTGACTAAGGTCAGGTAGTAACCCGTGCCCAGGTGAGTCTTCAAGAACAGCGAGGAGCCTACACAGCACAGCTTGCCATGGGAAATGATGGCAATTCGGTCACCCAGAATGTCAGCTTCATCCATGTGATGAGTGGAAAGAATGATGGTGCGGCCTGAAAGACATGGCAAGAAAATAACACTTTATTTATCATAACATGCTATTTTCACTTGTACAGTCCTTCAACCTGAGGCCTCAATCACTTGATGTTCGACTTGAATTCATCTGTATATTTGAATTGCTTTAGAATGTTATTGATATGATTTTAACTTTTTTTAAGCATCAAATAGCAACAACAAAAAAAATCCAGAAAGGGCTACTCTCAGTTTCGCTTACCTTGTCTGTATTTGAGCAGCAGGTCCCAGATTCCCCTGCGAGCGTAAGGATCTACACCAGCTGTAGGTTCATCAAGAATGACAACCTTTGAGCCTCCAACAAAAGCCAGGGCAACTGAGAGCTTCCTCTGCATCCCACCTGAAAAGACAACAAGAACATTTAGGTGACTGGCTCTTCAATGCGTAACACTTTAAAGGTTACATGCCCCTTAGTGGTGAAACATACAACACTGACCTGACAGGGTGTTCGTACGGGAATCTCGCTTGTGAGGCAGTCCGACATCATTCACAATTTGTTCCATTTCAGCTTTAACCATTTCCTCTGGAAGCCCTTTCAAGCGACCATAGAACCAAATATGCTCCTCCACGGTCAACCTGAAAGACAGCAGACCACCAAATCCTATTAATACCAAAGCACAGAAGGATAAAAGTTCACTCTATTTCTTAAAACTTTCCCATACTGAAAACATACATGCTGAAAAGAACATTGTGCTGGGGGCAGACACCCAGATTCTGCCTGATGGTGCTGAGCTCAGAGCGAATGTCTTTGCCGAGGATGTAGGCCGTGCCAGACGTGGGTGGGAAGAGTCCCGTCAGGATTGACCTGTTAGAAACGAGGAAAGGAAACAGAACACAGACCCCATTTAAAATCCAGCTGTTTAGAGACTTGTAAGCGCCTGGTAGGTGTACAGTTGATCATGTGCACATCATCTTACATGGTTGTGGTTTTGCCTGCTCCATTGTGGCCCAGGAAGGAGGTGATCTGTCCTTCATAAAACCTCAGGGACAGTCCATCCACAGCCAGCTTGTTTCCATGACTGTAGACCTTAATCAGGTTTTCAATGTAAACCCCTGGTTCAATGTGGCTTGGCTCCTCCTCAATAAAAACAGCTATGAATGAGAAACTTTATTAGTCCATGGTATTTTAGCAATAAACAGTAGTATGTATCTTCATCTAAATGTGTTTTTTAAAAGCAATGCAACAAAACTATTGATGATTTCAATATTTACCATCGTTGCCCTTTGAAAGGGGGGTGGAGATATTCTTATTTTCTTTCTCTCCACACCAATATGTCTTCGTAAAAGGGAAATACCAAGGCCTTGGGATGCCATACTGACCTGTAATAGAATCAGTTGTTGTAAAAAAAGACTTCACAGTGCTTGTAAACTCATTATCTATGTCATGGATATTGCAGATAAGCGTAGGAATATTCTAACTATGGACTTTCGGACAACTTACCGGGGAAAACGGCTTCAATGTACCAGGTCATAACTCCATACAAAGCTGCGTCGAACAGCATCAGACAGATAGACGTGGTCAGGTTGTAGCTGTCGTCCTCCAGAGGGCTCGCAAGTAAGTTTGACCACTGGATTCCCACACCTTGCTCCTCAAACAGGGCAAAGTATTCACAGCCAAAGCCAAAAGCCACTGGAGACAGCAGACTCTGAGAGAAGAGCAAGAAAATAAATATTTTAGTATATTGAACCCAGTAATGTTGAGTATACTGAAGTGAGTAATATGAAAATCCTTTCACGCACCACAACAATTTTCGCTCCAAATCCGACGTAGTCTTGCCAGGCAACACAGAGAACGTAGGGCAGGTAAAGAGTGAAGTATATGATGCCTCCGCAGGCTGCTGCCAGGTTGGCACGAGAAAACAGGGTGCTGATGAGAAAGCACTGCATAATGGTCACGACGCCAAAAGATCCCAGGAAAAGAAAAACAACTCCAGGGTCACTGTAAGGCAGCAAGTTGCCCATCTGAGAAGAGAGACACACAGCAGAAAAAGAGACAGCAGAATTATTGGCAAGCATTCAATACAATTTTGGATAATGATAGAAAACAGAGTCACTATTAAGTTATACTGTGAATATAAAAGCTTGCTATGGGTGATGCTTGTATGTTTTATTGTTCTCGCCAATGTGACAACATTCCTGCGTGATGACAAATAGCTCATGCACGGGTGCATCCTGTTTGTGCCGACACCAACCTTCAATAGCATCACCAGCAGGCCGGCGCTGATCAGCAGCGGGATTAAACTGCTGATGAACCAGCTGACCCACAGAATGCCGTTGTTCAGTCCCATGATCCTCATGGTCTCCTTTAATCGGGCCTCTTTCTCGTACACCACGCCCTTAATGATGATGGCGACCGAGTACATCCATGCCAAAGTCATGAAGAGGGGCATTGATCGACTCATTACTCGCAAGAAACTGTGAAAAACGGTGAAAAAAGAGTTAGCTACAGACCTGCTGCACCGCCTGTGAACATAGCCATTTCTGTCAGCAGAACAGTGACTCACATGTCATCAACATAGCAGGGGTAGGGCATCTGCTGGATGTAGATCCCTGTCTTCTCTCTTGTGCCAGTGACAGCGCGGATAATTCCTTGTTCAATGACATCCTGCAGGTAAGAAAATCCACCCCAGACGTACCGCAGATCCTCAAATGGGTCTGCCCTGGGACCAGGGTCCCAATAACTGCAAAGCAACACGAAAATGAACATAGTCATTATGAATCTGGGTAATTAACTAAATATGTGTGAGAAAAGAGGCTGTCTTGTTATAAAATGAACTTACCCGTCTTTAATCTTGTTGGTCCTCTCCACGTTATCGATGTCCATCCGGATTTTGTAGTTGACATTGGGTGGCAGGTCAGTGCTTTTGCTGTGAACTATGTCAGGAAACACGATCCCAGCCCAGAACTTCTGGTGATTCAGAAGACCCATAGACTTGTTGACCAAACGCTCCTCGTTCGCTACCGGCTCCAACTTGTCAAGGTTTACACACTGAAGATGAAGCAATGTGTTAATGACATCTTTCAGTCTGAGCACACATTAATAACTCCTAGGAAGTGTAGGTGTTGGAAGTCAGTAATTAAGGAATTAATGATTTACCTGCTGTAACAAACAGAGGCATTTGTTTTTTTTTAAAGTAATTACAAAAATGCCATCAACACGCAATCAATTTTAAGCGTGACATACGAAAACAATGTCAACTGTTAAAAAGTCATGAAAATTCCAGCTCAACAACTCTTATTCAGAGGCAAAGAATGACCATGAACTCTTCCCTATTAAACTGGCTCATGTGCCTTGGATGGACACTGAGTAACCAATCTACAGTTGTATATCTGACTTGTTGAGAACTCCCACAGATGAACTTTTCACATGTTTGGCTGAAATATACGGCCTTGTGCTCATCCCCATTTCCTTGTGTTTGTTATGGCTGAGAGAGCATATTCTGATAAAATGCAATAGAAAACCTTTTAAAGGAGTATTGGTGCAAAGCCTTGACATAGTTTTTGGTTTGAAAAACAGCATCTCAAACAAGTTATATGATTAACTTGACCTAAGCGGTGTCAGACAGTCAGTGGGTTGTACGTGATGTTGAATATAATTTGTGTAAAACTGACAAATCATTGACTTCACAGAGTTAAATTTTATGATTTCTGCCTCCAGTTATCCACAGTGATAGAGAAGGAGAGACAAAGTGGAGACATGAATAATACATGCAAGCTATAAGTAATATATAGAATACTGGTATAATCAATTTGTAATCAGTTGTCTTTCTTGTCATTCTGCAAAATCAAAAGCTTTTTTTTTTTAATGGATTTGCAGAACAATTCAATCATCACAAAACTGTTTGATAACTAAGGGTCTGTCCCTCTCAGAAATCTCAATGATGAAATTCCTGACACAGATAAACAAAATCAGGGCAGAACATTGATTAACTGTGCCTGGGGGGGTAACCACGCTGAGCATGGTAAACATTCATTTTGATGAAGCATAGAAAGGAACAAGAACATTCAATTTCAAGCTTTTTAATAGCCATACATGGATCTGAGCAGCCTTAAATTGAATTAAATGAATGAGAGGTTTTGTGGGCCAGTGACCTAAATAGACAGTTAAAATTGAGTCTATTTCCTCATGAATTTTTCTCCCCATTGTATACAATTTAAAGTTAATTAGATTATGGTTTTAATGGCATGCTCTTAAAAAACATGCTTCCTTTTTCTGCATCTTCAATTAAGTGAAAACGTCATTAAATGCTCCGCTTGATTATTTCTTGTTTAATGAAAACCTTTTCAAGAAAGAGACTTTGCGTTTTCTTGATATTGACAAAACTTGTATATTTCAATAGTCCACTAACCTCCATGAAGCGAGAAATGGTCTGTATGGCCTGGTCGGTCTCGTTGAAAATGTTTCTCCAGGTGTATGCTGACCCTGCAGGTCTTTGGTCCTCAGAGGCTTTTGACAGGAAGTTTGCCACATCTGACACTTGCCACTCAGTCTCACTGAGCTGGGCGTTCAGGAAAGCAGCGCTGGCATTATTCTGGAGCAGGGTCTAAACAAAAAACAAAAACAAGTTTAGAGAAGAGTCAAGAAACAACAACATTAAAAGGGCTTCATACAAACTAAATATCGCGCCATCTGGGTCAAAACTGACTTTAAAGTTCTAATTAGCTTTCTTTTCTCTCAAGGCATGAAATGTTAGTCAGGAGTGAAAAAAATAAAGTTGTATAATTGTGCAATGCCTTCAGCTTCTTTGGTTTTGTGACCTTGATGAATACCAGTGTCTGATGTTTGGGTATTCGGCCTTTGACCTAGTTTGACATTCATTTGCTACTCTGAGTTTCTCGTTAATACTTTATCTCAAATTTGTTATCGTTGTTATTCTGTCTGTTGATATTTAATCTCTTCCCAGGCAAACTTATGTTTATAACAGAAACAACTAACAATTAAAATTAAGATCTCCAAAGGCAGATCAAATGTAAGCCTTAATCAGTTTCTTCAGTGTAAAGTCATCTTTCCCCACTAGGTGGAGAAAGTGCTTGTGCAACGGAGAGAAGAAGTGTTGAAAATTAGAAACGTGCTTTACGCCATGAAACAGTCGTGTTTTGTGTTAATCTTACACATGTTTTATATTATGCAGATAATTCAAACTACTGTCCCATATAGCTGAATTATCTATCTGTATTCAGATCTCTCTGCTCAATGTGTAACAATGAAAATATTTTTTTTTGGCTTTGCACAGCAGTGTCAAATTCTTCCATTGGCCTGAAAGAACTGGGTCAGATCTGAAATGTATAATAATTGCCTTCTTGTAAACTTCCTATGTAAACAGGAAAGTTGCTGGGAACAACATTAATCTCTGTTATGTCTACAGATAAAAAGCTAATTCACAGACTCACCCTGACCAAGTCCATTTCCTCACTGTTCTCCATGAAATTCCAAAATTTAGGCCTCATCTCCTCCCACATTCCCCCAAGGTCCCTCAGCACGCCAAGCTCCTGGAAGGTCTTGTTGACCTGAAATTCACAAATATGCATGTTTACACTTGATGCTTCGGATTGGAATTTCGATAAACAGTTTTAGTTGTGAGGGGGCCTTTTGCACCTCGTGGATGATCCTCTGTGTTGCTGGAGTGTCTGGGGTGTACAGGATCTTGCCCATGAGGAGAGGTTTCAGAGCTCGCCAGATCATCCTGGAAATGGGGCTGGACTCCAGGCTCCTCATCATGTTGTTACAATAGGGTGCTTGAAAATAACACAAGGTCAGTGTTAAAAGGTGATTGTCCCTGACAGTGAATGAAAAACAAGAAAAGTGAAGGTTTGTGAAGCTTTATTTGCTTACTTGAGGAGTTGTCGTAAGTGGAGATGTGTTCACTGTCACTGTCATTTCCATGGTTTCCAAACAGGGCCTTGTAGTTGTTGTCTTCATACCAGTTGAGCGATTTAATTTTCAGGCCGCCCCCCTCTGGGTGTCCACAGACGATGCGTGACACGGCCTGGTACATCTGATTTGGAGACCCCGTGGCATTCGCAGTTAAGTACAGGATCTCCTTTCGCATATCCTTCCAACTCTTCATGCTGGCAAGCTGTTGAGAGGAACATATGAAAACATTAGCATGATTAAAGCTGGCAAGCAGCAGCGCACTAGGAGGTATTAATGTAACCAAATACCATTTCTAGATTTGACTCATGCACAGACAAAATCTAAACTGACGTCTTTTTTAACCAAGATTTATTTGACATGGATATTTATGACATCTTTGAAATATCATTTTGGGCATCAACTATTGCTTTTATGAATAATACAATCAATTATGTGAACTGTTCATTCTTCCATCTGTGACAGCAGCTTAAAGTGTAGTCAGTAGACATGATTATTAACAAAACGGACCACTCCGGAAAACTATTTCTATAGGGACTCCACCATATTTTGTACATCTCATGTCACTCATTAAGTAAGAAATGAAAATAAAATTTGAAAAACAATCATTTGTCACAACACAAGCAGGTTTGAAGGTATTTAAGGCAGCCATCTACACTATGAGGTGTACTCTATACATGGAGGTAAAGCGCTGCTCTGTGGGGTGGAGACATTTAGCACTTGGCCATCTGCTTGTCGAAGATAAATTTAACTACTGTTCACAGCCCTATCATCCACCCTCAAAGTGCGTGTGTCTGGGGGGGTTGTAGCCGAATCAAGGGGAGAGGTAAGATAACGTGTGTCATGTGACACATGCATGTGAAGTGCAGCGTCTTACGTAGAAAATAGCCATGATGTTACAAGCATGCACATTCACTTCAGAACACAGAACTCCATCCATTTTTAGCACAGCAGTCTTTTTTTTTAATCAAAAGACAGAGAAAAGCCAAATCCCAATTCAGCATTTTTTTCTTATTGTCCAATCTTCTGTGAAGGACTATTGTCCAACATAATAAAAACAAAAAAATGCTTGTTTAAAGGGCAACACAATTTAACTAGTTAAACAGACTCCCATAAATGCCCACACAGGCTCTATATTTGAATTGTTTTCTTTGTCTGATAAGTTCTTTAGCCCACTGCATCATCATTTCAGAACAGAGTGTTGTTTTTTTTTGTTTTTCTCCAGAGAAGCTTGTGGCACTGTGACATCCTGTTAGCAGTCATGTGCTTTGTTGCATCACAGAGTGGGAAGTTCATTTTGGTCCATGATGGGGTTACTACAGGTCAAGAAACAGGTTGGCACAGGCGCATATATAATGTGTCCAAATTGGTCAAATAAATATGCAATTAGGTCACCAAGTTGTGATGGAAAGCAAGGCTATATGAATTTCATTCAAGTAACAAGAAACATTTGTGAAGTCAAACGGAACTTTGTGTTTTAACTGAGAAAAGGAGAACTGTGTTTAAGCTTTAGGCGAGTGAAAGAGAAAGGCTAAAAAGGTCAGACTTATTTCTTAGAAGCTAAAGTTGAAATTTAAGGATGAGTGAGTGAATGAAAAAAAGAAGAAAGAAAGAAAGACAGACTGGAGGGAAGAAAGACAGAAAACTGTGTGAAAGGTTACACTGAAGAAGTGGAAATGAGTGCTTCTGAGGAAGGCACGAGAACAAAGAAAGGTTACTGCCGGTCGTTTTGCGAGCGGGCAAACCTCCACAGGCTCGACAATTAGAGCGTTGACACAAAACACACACATGCACAAACGTACACAGACACAACGGCACACAAACACTCAGTTGTTTCAGGAGAAACAGAACAGTCTTCTCAGTTGTCTCGATCGGTTACATCGTGAAAACTACTTTTGTCCGGTTAAAAGGACGCAATTCTTATACTGTCCTTTTTCACAGCAATCAAATATTCAACGCAGGTTTCAGACCAGGAGAAAGTGAGACTGAAAGCGCTGTTGTTTCCGAGATCATTGTCTGCGTGGTTAGCGTTCAGCTGAGCCTGCAGCCACATCAGCTGTCACATGCTTTCCTGCTCTTTCATGTGCAAAGATCTGCCTGAGATATTTAGTCAAAGCATTTCTGAAGTTTTGAGCTTGTTGTTTGTTTTGGGGAACTGTCAGTATGCATTTCTACTTTAAAAGAGGTCTTGGGCTTTTCTGGCCTACATGATTACGTGTTTCTGTTCCCTTATTAGAGAAAGATTTCTCTTACTCTTATCTGGTGTCAGATTCTAAATCACAAACGGAGCGATGTCTGGAACAGTGCTGTATGTGTGCGTTTGTGTCCAAGTGCTTTGTGGGGAGGTATTTGCGGGTGACAGTTTGACTATAATTAAATGATACTGACTGAAATGGGCCATTCTCTGTGCAGTGGTTTAGATGCTAACTAGGTGAGTTGTGTTCACGGGCGTGCAGGTGCAAAGATGCACACACACAGACACACTTGCAGGAGCAGAGGATTGCCTGGGAGTAACCTCAAGGCAGAGCTGGCTTAAGGTTACTAAAGTTTAAGTTTCCACTCAAGCACACAGCTATTTAGTTCAGAGCAGCTCAAGAGTCGAGTCGCAAATTAATTGTAAATTAGACCGTGACCTGAATATTGAAACCCGTGGGTCACCGGTGGAAACGCTTGTTTTCTCTTATGATGCAAACCAATTTTGAAACCAAGTTTCTGAAGGCCAGAGAAAAACATGACATGCATGAGGTTCAGATGAATTTCACACTGGCTGGGTTTTCAGTCAGACACCATTTTGTCATGTTAATAAACTCCATTATCTTGTCAAGATTTACTACTTTGGGGGAAAAAATAACCTAAAATCATATATGAAGTGTCTGCAATCTTTCCAGCAGAGAAAATAGCAATATTTTTTCATTTGAATGCTAGTAACTGTACATTTATTTCAAGGGGTTAAAATTGGGACTCTTTCTCTCTAAGTACCTCCAATCTGATAAAGGCTTTAGTATAAACGCTAACAGGCTGAGAATGAGAGGGATTCCAATGTTTAACAGTTCAAGTCTGCACTGCCAGCCTCTGGAGCTAAGCAATTTAAGCTGCTTAACGGGAGAGGTAAAAGATTAGGAGAAATACTTTTATTCTAAAAATATTCTACATTAACCTTTATGTATTCATTTCTTAAAGTATTTACCAAATGGTTGAATCCAGCTAAGAAATGCTTTAGGTAAGCAGGCAAAATTACAACATTTCAGCTCAAATTTCAACAATGCCCCTTTAGCACTGTTCCAGCTGGGGAAATGCAACTATGCCATACTGTTCTTTTTTTTTTTTACAAAGTTCAGAGAATATGCAATTTCCCCATGACTAGTCACATGGGTGAAAATACATAAACAGGCTCTGAATGAAATAATGGCTGCAGCTCTGTCTTTTTTCAGCATTTTAAAACTTTCAACACAGTTGATATAAGTCCATTTCTCCACTCAGGCTGCTGCTTTTTGTTTGCTAAAAAACATCAGAGCCAGCTGCTCTTTGCAAGTGACTGAATATGCCACACTGTGTTAGCGTGTCAAACCTCGAATGTCAACAATAAGACAGTTATGCAAGACAGGATTCAGGTGACTTTTTTTTTTTTTTTTTCGCTTTTCATCTCTGTCTAACAGAGAGAGGAAACTAAAGAACACGGCCCTGTACACAAACAGCTGGGTCAATACGTTTTTGCCAACACAGCAGAGCCTGAGCCTGAGAGAAAGGGGTTTGTGTTGTGTTTGTGTGAGTGCGCGCAACCAGCTGCTGCTTCTCCCCTTTCTCCCAGCATTCCAGCAGCTCAGGCTGTGTTACATTAGCTTAGGTCAGGCATGTGTGGGAGTGTGCGCGCACGTTATTCTGTACTGTTTTCCTGCTGGGATGGTGCGTGGGGTTGTTGACTGATTCAGGTTTGTGTGCGCTACCAGTTACGGAAATATTTCACACAGAAAAAAACTGGTATGGCAGGAATTCAATTTCAGAGGGCATTTCTGTTCCAAACTAAATCCCAATAAACTGTACTAGTGTTTGAGAACAATTAGAAAAGCCTAAGCAATGTGCATCAAAACATATTTTGAATCTCTTACAGCCATTGGTACACAGTTCAAACCATACAGTTCTGTCCAAGATTTGAAAGGTCAAGAAAACATCATGACTTCATGACTCTGCATATCAGCCTCCGTGTGTTAACATAGCCAATAAAGTCTTGACCTCAAGGGACCCAACTTACACTTGTGCCTCTGTGTACAAAAGATTCAACGACTGACACAAAATTCTTGGTAAAAATTGATTTGATTCACAGTGAACACATGGACTTTGAATCCAAATATCCTGTTTATACTGGTTTCATCATGTGTGAGTTGTGTTCTCTGTATGTGTTTACCTCCACTCCCAGTGCTCCCAGGCTCTCCAGAAGATTGTCAGCTGCAGCTGAGACCTCCTGAACCACTTTGGGGTCTGACCTCACATCCTTCTGTGAAACGAATAATCAGTATTAGAGATTTTCAAGTTTTTACATAATCAAACGAACACAGGATATGAAAACACCTTCTCAATTAATCATTCATGCATATTTCAAAATGCAGATTTCTATTCCTTTTTAGTATGTCATTTAAAACTCTAAATAGATTGAGTTTTCCTTCCACTGTTGTCCTGGTTAATGAAACATGGGAAAGAAGAAATTGATGAACATGGGACCCAACAGGTTAGAGAACAGCCAAGAAAGAACAACAAGACCTGACCTCCTGTGTTCCTGTCAGTCAAACAGCTGTGTTAAAGTCCCAGTGCGTGTGTGTGTGTGTGTCTGAGTAATAGAGTGTGTGTGTTCTCATCTATCACACCGAGTTGTCATCTACTGGAATGTCTGACAGTCGATAAAAACTAAAGTGATGCTGAAGAGAAAACAGTCCTCTTGGAAAAGAGAAAAGCACACTCGTCTATTCCATTTCTCTCCCTTCTTTCTCTCCATTTTCCCCACTGATTTTTCTCCTTAATCCAAATAGAAATGTTTACACATAAAGATGGGAGAAAACGGAATTATGCAAGAGTTTTTATTATCAGATTTCACCCTATTTTGTCACTACTTGGAAAGAATTTCCACTATTGCATCAATGTCCTAATGAATTTGGATCCATTGAGGAACATGTATTTTTTTGACCCAGAACATTTCCAAATGAATAAGGAAAGATTAAGGACTCCTTCTCAACGCTCAAAAAACAAATTACAGTGGAGCAGATTGCTATGTTCTCCTCTTGCACTTCCCTATAATGACTCAGATTTAGGTAAAAGGTATTATGGGAAGGGGCTGGAACCTTTGAGAACGTGCCGCCAGAGGGCATAAACACAGATGAAAGGGTAGAGGATAGAACATGTGGGTAATAAAAAAGATGCAAAGAATAAAGGAAAATGCTGTTTGAAACGGAGATAAGTCTACGAGTCTGTGAAGATTTTAAAAAGATGAAATTGAACCAACAAAATGACTAACAAAAAAAAAGGGATTTTATTTTATACACAACATAATATTGTAACAACTTATCAGACTTACCCGAAGGGGTTTGAGAAAGTCCAGGTTTGAGAGGAAGTGACTCTGAGCCTTATCCAGCCAGTCGCTGGATGACTTGCAGATTATTTCTTGAGTCAAAAGCGACACATTACGATCTGCGATGTGGACAAACTCTTCCAGAGGTGTGGTGTTGCAGAGGTCTCTAAGATGGAATCCAAAACCTTTAGTCAGCACCTAAACAGTGGGAGAGGAAAAAACAGGAAAACGAGGTTTCAGAGGAGAATGAAAAGCACACTTGTGATGATATGTAGGATCTTTTCAAATATGTGCTTTTCATTGACTAGAGAGACAAAAAAGGAAACAAATACTTATCTTGATATATACGAAAATGTTTTTTTTTACATCATGACTTTTTACTTGTTTAAACTGAATGAGATTTTTCAGACAGATTTCTTTAACACACACCGATGGAAAACAAAAATGTCCTTTTCTGAGAAATCAGAGCAATTAATTCTATTTTTTGGTATATAAAAAAGGGGGTGACCATGTTAAATCTTCCATAAATTCAACTTCTCTGTTGAAACTACATTCTTTATGACGTCCATTGTTTAAATTAGACCTCCTCCTCTACGATAAGGGAAGTCTGGGAGCACGGGGCGAGCGGTACAGAACCACAGCATGTAACGTGTTTTTGACTTCCAGCCACTGTGTCTGCACGTGAGGAAAAATGCGGGGGAGGGGAGGGGTGAAGAGGAGCAGTCATGTGACTCTTGCCTCAGAGCTGCAAAGCAGGGATGAGGAGAGGGGATGGATCTGGTGCTCCTGCACTCGTAAAGTTAGAGCGGCAGAATCGGTCTTTCTTTGTGATAAGGGTTCAACCAGACATACCTCAAAAGACTGGAAGAGGACATGTTCTGTGCGTGTGTCTTTTACGTTTAGGAGCTAACATGCACTGAATCAGATAAACTGATAATCCTATAAAAGAAAAAGGGTGCACCCGAATAAATGGATGAAATTAAGAGTGAAGGAAGCCATAACAGCAGAAACTGTATGAAGAGACAAAGAAACAGTTATAAGTTTGACAAGAACTATTTCGAAAAGACAGATGGGAGAGGGTACACTGCCCAACATCCTCCACACCCATCCGCTCGTGCTGGTTTTTTTCTCCCGGGTATTAAGAGCTTAGCTGTGCTACAGCAGAATCCTATGGTCCAACGGAGCCAAGGTCATTAGATTTATGCACAGTGTAATGGTGCGGGGGCCAGGGGAGCACGGCTATCTCATATGTGAAAAGCACAAATAAGCCTGAAAGTCAAAGAAATGGTCAAAAGACTCTGAGGACTGTAATGCTCCATCTTACCTTCTCTAAGTTGACATCAGCCTCGATAATGTGCTTGAGAGCATGGTGAGGGAGAGACGCATTGTGATGCAGAAAGTGGGAGAGAGTCTCATTGTCTCGCAAGAAGTCCTTCAACTTGAAACCTAAAAGTAAAAACATCAGCACACTATAAAAAGACATAACAGCACTTGGACACAATATATTTTGTTCCTGATTCCCACGGTGGTGTAGAGGAAACATTCACAATGCAAAGTACTTCGAAATTTGGGAAGCATTCATAGAAAAGTATGTAGGAAATGCCATCAGCGTGGGCTAAAGTTTAGGTAATGTCTGGTCAAATGTGTTGGAGGAAGGAATTCCTTATGTCATTTGAATTAAATGACTGTGTAAATTGACTAACTGATGCCAAATCACATGTAGCTTCTGAATACTGATAGGGGGGCAATCCCAAACATGGGGCTCTTTACACTCTGACAAGTCTTTGTATTTCGCTAGATTCCAAAGAAGTCAAACCATTTCTGACTCAGACCCCAGTCAGCGGTGCGGTTACCGGCCGGGACAGGCATGAACACACAGACACACACGCACGCTGTTCTCACTTCTCCTCAGATTTATAGTCAGCATGGGTTACTACGGGGCATTAAACTTTAGTCCAAATACCGACTTGCCTTTGTTTTAAACTTACTCTCTTTTCCTGACATTATACATATATTACAGTATGTAGGTGTGTATATTTGTGTTGAGATGTCTCTCTGTCCATTAATTGTTTATAATTAAGGTTGTCTTTAAGTGAACTTATGTATGAAAAGTATGAGCTCTGCCAGAAGGGCCATTAGTGCACGTGTCTAAATGTATCAAACTTAGACAGTAATTTTTTCTCTAAAGACGTGAGTTTACACATTATTTTCTGACAATTTATCAGATATGGTGAAATGATTAGTGTTCTAATTGCTCTCCTCTATTCTTCTCAGTCTTTTTGTTTGTTCCCATTCAGTGCGTATAATTCTAAAGATGAGTTTTTGCTTTCTAAACGTCTTAACTTTTGCTATCCTTCACCTGCTGTTCTCTTTATTCCAACTAAATCCAGCTCTAGATTTACTTTCTTGCTATCAAATTACACTCACAAGCTCAGATTCACGTACAGGAAACGCTTTGCTTCCACCAAACATCCCTCGGGAGGAAGTGAAAGAGAACAGTGTGTTTTCTGTCTGTTCAGATGACACATGTGTTGCCTCCCTCTTACCGCATCCACTGCGCAGCACCCTGTTTTCTATGAGTTTTTCTAAGCATCATACATGTGCTACTATTGCTCCTACCTTCCATGTGGATCTAATAATGTGTCTCTGTGTGCCTCTGCCTACCTGTGCATATGACGTTAGTAACCAGGGAGTGCTAATTGTGTCTAATCACTGTCCCGGTAGGAAGTCACAGCTCCCACAAGGCTGCGACTGAAAACCCCAGAGAACACACCAGCCTGGTGTGTTGTACTCTTGTTCAATTACAATTGTGTGCGTTTTATGTCTACATTTGATCATTTTTGTAAATATTGCTTAATATGGTTAAAATACCTCAACCTTTTAGGGACTTAAAGGTTTCCCGAAGCCTGAGTAGTGTCATCTGTTTTTGTTTTCTCATGGAACAAGCTGTTTATTAACACTTACATGTCCCCACATGCCCTGATGTTGTCAGTCCTGTTTGACATTCAGCTGACATATCACCTCTTATAAATCAAGAGTCCTCACGGTCCAAACTTGTCAGCAGAATTTCATTTTTTCCAAATCTACCACAAATTGGCTTGCAACACTAAGCATTCCTGAATTATTACGCTGGATAAAAGGCGAGTGACACTATTTTGGATGAGCACATAACTGCCTCTAAGGGTAAAGTAGACTTTTGGAGCCATTGGCTATCTGTTGCTCAGTGACATTGCAGACTGATGCCAAGCATTGTTCAAACGGTCACACTTAAACTCATCAAACCTTTAAAACAAACATTCCTAACAAGAGAAACTAATTATAAAATCAATGAAAACTGGAAAAGATGCCTAAGATAAAGTAACTGATGGGTTTTTTTTGCATGAAGCAATTTACTTTAAGATGCAGTTCTATAAAAAGACAAATACAAAAAAGATACAACGAATATATAAATTAAATATTATTTTAAACATATGTTAAATTCAGAAAAAAATTCTGTCTTTAGAAAATGTTTCTAAAATGTTCAAACTTCTCTGCAGATTTCTGCTTTGTTTGAGGGCAAAAAGCTCATAGCTCCCACCACCACTTCGCAGCCCCAACTGCCCTTATCAGTTTAAATCTCATTCAGTGACCCTGTTAGATGATGAATTATTAACCGACACGTGAGGGGCTTCACTCCCAGCTGTTTGATCTGGTATTTGAAAAGCCTCGCCTCAGTCTGTTTTGCTCACTGTATCATGTGTGACTGCCTTTTCACAGCATCAGCGCATTGTGTCTCATAGATTAAAAGCAAACACAGAGAAGAGTATGAGAATGAACACTATCAAACCACGGTGGATTGAAAAATCAACTCCCATGAAGTCAATAGTGAAACAGTCACATTAGTGGTGCCCTTTTCTTTCAGTTTTTTCTTTCTGGTTTTAATAAAAAAAATAAAAAAAAAGATTTATAATTGTTGTTTAATTTTACTTGAAATCCAAGGACACACATTTCAAGGTAATATCTAAGTCCAGCACTGTGAAATGAAAGAGCATATTATTCTTGTTTATCTGAGATGAACTTCTTTCTCTATCCTTGCTTGGCTTTGCGGAATTAATTGCGTAACAGAAACAACCTTTGGGCTAATGGAGTAAACAGCTGCCAAAACAAGAAGGTCTTTGAATGCTCAGCTCCTTTAGTTGCTTAGTTTCTCATGGCAGGCTTGAGATGCTCAGCATAGAATTAAACTATTATCTTACATAAATGAAGATAAAGCATTTCTTTCTACAGTAACTGAGCAGACATATTGTCACAAGATGGTGTAGGAAAAACTGGTCCAAAGCAAACAAAAAGAACATCTTGTTTAATTAGGCTCTGAGTCCAGCAATAAGCAGCTCATTGGTGTGTCAGATCTCCTTTTGATATAATGTTGTGTGCATATTATTATTACATTGTTTTTTGTTTTTTTGGCCTTGTAAGGTCAGACAGATTACACCTATCCTGCGTACTGAGTCAGCACTCAGTGTGTTACCATTTAAAAATACGAATCTGCTGCTCGGCAAAATCATTGTCATGAGTCTTTCTTTTTTGTGTATGTGAAATGTTTCTGTCTAACCGCTAAAATGAATTATTAATGGGTATTGATGAAGACAGGATTTTTAAAGTGCAAGACTCAGTAGACTTCACAGTGAACATGTACTTTATCAGTGATAGACCATCTGAAACCGGGACGGGAGGCAACGGCATTCCTAAAAAACTAATTGTAAAGTCCACGCTTTGATTATACAGTGGTTTCCAGGGTGGAGCACAATTTCTGTTTCCTGTCCTGTACCACCACCAACATCGCATTATGGAAAGGACAAACAACACTTACAGTGCGCAGTGATATGGATACACTACAGTGAACTGCATCAATAATCTTCTTATTAGTCTGTAGTGGTTTACGCTACATCTCATTCTTACTGATTGTCTAAGATTTTTCGTGAAGATAGCATGAAATTAAAATTGGATGAAAATCAGAAATCATTCTGCCGGTCAAGTACTTAATAATTAGACAAGAAAACAAGCAAAGGGTGGGTGCTTACGTGCAGAGTTCTTCTGAAGCTTCCTGAGGGCCCTAAGAAGTCCTTTGTAGCCCTCATAGCTTTTATCGTTCTGAGAGTAAAGCAGGATCTTCTTGGCATCGTCGAAAAGACGGGAAATTCTGGTCATGTTGACAAGAGAGATAAGAAAATCAGACACATTTTCCACATCTGTCACATCTGTCAGTACTTTGGGGTATCATTTTTCTGTTTTTTTTAATGAAAATAAAGTTTGTAAAATAATCTAATTACCTAGATTAATAAGCTATCCTAGTGATGTTGCAGTGATGAAAAACTACAGAGAAAAACATATATTTGTATTTGATATGGGGATCACGTTACTCACATAGAGTCATTAAAATTCCCCACTACCCCGGGACTCTCTCCAGGGGTAGGATTACGAAAGCAGGGGTTGTTGGCATTGCAGATGATGCCCTGTACCCAGGGCAAGGTACCTGCTGAGGGCATGGCCTTGTTGGGGAAGTGACCTAGAAAAATAAGAACAACATTTTCATGACATTCCTAAGTGTGGAAAAAAGTATACTGAATGTAGCATTTATAAACGCATCACCATCCGATTAACAAGAGCATATCTGTCCTTCATGGGAATTAGGTTCATGCTAAAGTTTAGACATAAAACTACAAAGAGCAACAGCAACCATTTTAATTATGCAGTTTCAGTGTGTCTACTCAAAACAATTAATTTATTACTAAAGATGATAAGTAAACAATAAAATGAGTAAATCAATGTTGAAACTGCCTTTCAAATAGCATCTAAAAAATACTGGCTTTATCTTTAAAACTTGCTGAAACAGTAGTCAGAAGATCTGACTGCCACTGTTGTGATACTGAGAATTACCAGCAATTACACTGAGAAGATTAGCTCAGAGGACATCCAGTGAGCTGACCCACTTCTCTGAATGTCCTATGTTTGAGTTTGTGTGCTTTGAAATGCTGCTGAACAAAAGTATCATGTCCAGTCTTGTTATAGCAGCATGAAAAAAAAAAACTTGATTTGATCAAAAGCAGGAGTTGCGAAATTTGAGAACACGCTTAAATCTGCAGTGATTCTTCGGAAATCGTGAATTGTTCATAAATCCAAATGACATAAGAACATAATAAAAAAGATCTGCTGTAGAAAATGTGATGCCTTATCTTAAAATCTTTTGCTTTGCTGAGTTGAAATCAAAAAGTGTGAAACCTTCTGCACAATATTGCTTTGAAAAGAATCTAAGCATTCTATGTGCTCCATTTTAAATTTGTTGTGCGTAAAGAAGTACCTACATTCATGTTGTTCATAGGGTGGGTAATATATCCGCACTGATATCAGGATGAAAAAGATGAACAGGGGCCAGATGATCTCAATCAGCAGCTGGATCTAAAGCATAAGAGACGAAGACACAAGTTAATCAATAATTATCAAGGCATAAAAATACAAAAGATGACTTAATCATCACTTAAAAGGGATTTTTCACTTGTGCTTTCCTTTAAATGTTATCGGTTCACTTTAGGCCATATCTGGTGCTTAGCAAGTAAGATATAATTTAGAGTGTTTGCAAGTATGAAGAGCACGGGTAGCTGTTTTCCTTTGAAAGCAGTAATCTCCCCATGTGTCTGTGTAAAGTCTGGATAAAGTACACGGGTTAATGAGGGGAGGCAGAGGGAGAACTAGGAGAGCGTCTGCTCGATTAAAAAGACTATGGGTTTTTCCATCTGCTCCATATGGTTACTTTGCCTCAGCTGCCCCGGTCTCAGCTTGAAGCGGTACAACACACATGCAGTGTGGGGGGGGGGTGAAGAATAAAGCCAGTGTCTAAAAAAATTCACTGTATCCCTTTTGTTGGAAGTAACTGGACTTAAAAGTCATGCAGTCCCAGCTGTCACTTTGAAGAGCTGACTCGGCCTGATGGACAAATGGCCTAATTGTATGCAGATGAGCCTTCTCACATATAAAGAGGCACTCTGCTAGAGTTTCAGACTGAATTTAATTTGCATTGTTTGAGCTTGCGGGTATCAACCAGCACAAGATAGTAACCGGCTGAAAGATCTAACATTAATGTGTCATCGTCACGTCTTTGAGTGAGTCACGGTGGTCTGTAAGCGGGAAGGCTTTTCAATACAAATTTCTCCGAGGACGGTTGCATCATCGCCATTGTTGTGAGCTGCCCACTTGTGAGACTATTGAGCATTAGTAAGCCTAAAATCTCTTTATCTCTGATTCAAAGTAAAACCCACTGAAAACATGAGGGAGAAAAAGCAGTCTCAAAGGGAAACGTTTATTTAAAAAAGCTGATCCATTTTTCTAAAATAAAACAGCTCAATTGCATTTGGCATGATCTATTTAGCATTTAAACTGCAAAACAGTATCAATAAATATCTAATAAACCTGTGAATACATTTTGGGGGAACAGCAATTTTTCAAAAATAACTGAACATAATAAAACTTTAGTTCATTGCTCAGGTCAAAAATAAAGGAACACACTACTTACAGTCTGTCTCCGTCGGTAGGTGAAGTTCTTCCATAGCAGTAAACCCAGTTGAGTGAAGACTGCCATACTGCTGTCTTCCCAGCCTCACTGAGAACACTCCAGCTCCTCACTGAAAAACCACAAATAACAGGGTCACACACACACACACACACACAGAACGTTTTCGATCGGTAAAAAAGCCAAATATGAAATAACTGCCCTTCTTCTTGTGACACACAAAGCTGATTTAAAAAGCAGAACAGAAAGAGGTGACATCAAATAACAAAGACATATAACAGGACCAAATATGGTGGCAGCATCCAGCTGACTTTCAAAGAAGAGAAGAAAAACTGTGACAGATGTTAAGAAAAAGGCACAGAGTGGATAGCGGCAATCATAACCTGCCTGCCTTTTGAGAAATTCAAAAAGAAAAAAAAAGTCCAAGTGTTTGATGTGACAAAAGGACGAGCCACACGCAGCAAACGAAGTCAACCGCCGACTGAGGAAGGCTGCCAACTCATGCTGTCTCAGGTCCTCTTCATGTGGTCTCATCTGTCCAAAGGTCAAGCTACACTTCATTTGGGTGGACGAGTGGGTGGTGGGCAGTTACCAGATCCTGATAGTTCTTGGTGATTCTGTCCTCGTCACAGATTTCACCCACTAACTTCTCGGAATCACTCACACAATCCTGCATTGGATGTAAATTTTTTAAATTGAACCATAACTTCGTCTCCCTTCTTTCATCCATACAAAACAATCCAGTGATTGGGCAAAATTTGGGGAAAACCTAGTACAACCTGCCTTTTTGTCTGTGCTTTCAAAAGTCCTTTAATGCAACAGGCTGCCTGGGTACATTCAAGACTCAGTTTAATAATTTCTTTAAAAAGACCGTCAATTTTTAGGATTTGCTTACAGAGTGAAATATAATTTTTTTGCATAAGGATTTGGTTACTACCATTTATCACAATAAATGCCCTTTATACAGAAAAAATCTGATTGGCTAACAAACAGGAATGAGAGCAAAGAGATGTCAAGGACAAAGTGATGTTTAAACATGATGTTACCGACTGATCACCTGACCTGTTTAAACAAAATACTGTGCAAATCCAGCTGCTTCCCTTTTGGTTTTGTCCAACTTTTCCTTTCAGATAAAAAAAAAAAAGATTCCTCCCATTTTCTTATGATCTTAGCTGTCTAGAGATTAGCTGGATGAGAATTCTTAAAGATTAACCTACCGGTACAGCTCTTTTTTTCTGTGGTGTTTAATCCTTTACCCGTCTCTATTTGTGAGCATTTAATGGATTTAGATGCCTGTGACCCTGGAAAATCTGTGTGCCCGAACTAAGAGTTTCAAAATACCAGGGACAATGCCAAAAAAAGGTTTGAAGAAAACCCCTGTGATGCCACACAGATGTCTATGTTTCCAAAAGGTAAGTTTGGTAAAAGATGACATTCTAAGAAAAATGTATGTATTGCCCAACTGTATTTGTTTTAAAACACCGGTTGGATCCACACGCATTTCCCAAAGCCACATCCAACTAAATCCACTGAAATGTTTTAAATGTCGCAATAAAAAACCAACATGAACTTTGGGATCCCTAAAAACAGGGTGACCCTTGCACATTATCTGGCGCATCTGTTTTCTCTGTGAGTCACACATTTAATGGCAACGTGCGCAGCGGGGGGTTTTCAGCCCTTTCTGTAAGAAGGACAAACAGACGCCTTGTCGAGAGTCATCTCATTAAATCAGATGACATAGCTAAATTCTGTTTCACATATTTAAAATCAATCAACAGCATAATGACCCACAACCCCTATTGCCAACATTACTTTGGTCAATATCTTGTTCAATGCTTTCTCTTATTTACATAAAACTACAGGACAAAACCCATGAGGTGATCTGGGTGGGCAACACTATGTAAACACGTCCTATAGATGAGAATAAACCACATGTACACTCACGATCGCATCAAACATGACATTAAATGTTTTTTTCACCCCCACAATGTTTTTTTTCTCTCAACAGTTTTCATAACTGGGAGAAATTGTCTCTCCAACAACCTCCAAAATTAATTCTGGAATTCATGCCTGAAGAAAAGACGTCATGAGGGTGTTTGTTGTTGTCCATAAACAAACAGAAAAGACAAAGAAAAACAATCTGTAGGTACATTTAATCGACCTAATTCTGGCGATCTTTTCAGGAACAACATAATAGAATTCAGATTCATTTTGATGGGTTTATCCAAGTGAATGTGATCAAGGTTCTGACAAAAACGGTACACGTCGTACGCAGAGAAAACATGATCTTCTCCTCATGACAAACGACTCAAATGGTGCAGAATGAGTGCGCCTCTAGTGGAAAGCAGACACATAAAAAACACGTTCAAAATCCCATTTATACTTGTTTACCATCAATTCTCGCTCACGTGTTACATCACTCCTAGACAGGATTATGCTCCCAAATTTAATTGTCTTATGTTGTCACAGAAAAACTCCTAAGTGACCATTAAAGACAAGAAATGATCAAAAGCAGAGGCGGAGTGTTGTGACTGATGGAGGAAAAAAAGAATGCTCGCTGCTGTTGTTTTTTTGATGAAAGGTAGATTTTGTTTTGCTTCGCATGAACGACGTCGAAAAAACGAAAACAAAAAATTGATTTACTCGACGTTAAACAACACTGCAGATAGGCACGACAGTGAAAATGCTAAGAAAAACAAACTAATTTGGTCACAGACCCATTTCACCAAGAGAGAAAAACAGAGTAACAGAAATAGATATGAACCGGAGATTTAAAGATTTTTTTTTTTTTTTACAAAAAAAACATTTCTTTCTGCTTACAAATTTCAAAATTAGGTTGTCAAAAACGTCGTCTGAGAGACTGACTTTTGTTGTGTTTCATTGTTCTGGTGAACAGGGGTTATTGTCGGTCACTCAGCTTAACGATGCTGACCAGCAGCAGCATCAAGTTTGCCAAAATAAAACAGAGAGGAAAGTCACTGACCCTTCAAAGTAAAGCTAGCTCTGACTTGAAAACTCGCATTTAGCCAGTTAGCTCCCCACAGCCAAGAACCGCCAACACATTAGACAACACATTAGCATGTTCAAAGGTCTTAATAGGCAATGGCTAACATTAGCATGACAACATTTATACTCTTATTTATGACATAACATTCAAGATTTGAGGCTCAATAAAGAAGCAGCAACAAGTGTGCTTTTATTCTGTGACACATCTCACCGGAAGTCTTGAGTGTGACTCTTTAGCTTGACACTTCCCACAGACTGGTTCAGTCCAGACATCGCACAAACGGACTTAGTGACGATTGAAGATAAATAAACCCAACAAGCTCTACTGTCATTCCTCTTGGACAAGTGCATTATCTCACATATTTAACTTCCATTTTGCAAAAAGCATGCTTTCTTTGGCTTTCCACCCAAAACTATAGAAATTTGACTTGAAATTGCAACACAAAAATAACGCGTAGTAATTTGCATTCATCAAAAAACTGCTATTCTTTTCTGCCCTTAGTCACATAAATAGTTTTAAGCATTGCTCAGAAAAAAAAAAACTGTTATAAAAATGTCTTATGGTGACATTTCTTTGTTTAACAAAAATCCCCACAAAACACACAAAAAAGTCTTTAATTCACTGACCTTTATCTTGTTTTGTTTATCCACTCTTCTGTGAAAATTCGACGTCTTCGACAAACCAGAAATAGTGGAGGTTCGCCTAACGTTGTGGTCCTCCTGGTTGTTCTGTCTCAGTATCTGACAAAAGTGTTTTTTCTCCTCCACCAGGGTTTTATAGCGCAGCCCGATGCGGAGCAGAGAAGAGCAGAAGCAGAGGTAACTATCGGTCACCGTTTGTTGCTACTCCCTTATAAGGCAAGCACGTGCGGAGGCAAAACATCTCTTAAAGGGCCAGCGACACCCCGACGCTCGATGCTGCTTTTCAATTACTGACTCTTAACTCTTGCAGCCTGGATGGAAATATTGAATTAGTCCCTGTGATTCAATCCAATTAGGCAATTTAGGGCATTTGTCTTTTCATTCTCACATAGCTAGAATTTTTAAATGATTATGTTTAGTTAGCAATCACCTAATCAATGTGTAATTTATGTTGGGCAAAATTGAGCATTTCATTCAGTTGACAATAACTTGACAGGCATTTGTCAATAGATAAATAATCAGTTTTATCTTAAAGATAATGTTTAGTTCCTAAAATGAAAATTAATTAATGAATCAATTGTCTCAATCTCAAGCCCTTACATGAAATTATACATACAAAAGTGCTTTTGCAACGTCAGTGTGTTTTCCATCCTCGACCTACTGCCCATTCCGATTGCTACAGGGTCAGCGGTACATAGCATCCAGGACAACACGGCAGCCCATAACAGCGTCCACACCATGGCTTGACAAAACACCCATACCTATGATCAATATCACAATCACCAACTATGCTACTGGACTCTGGGAGTGATTCAGAGCAAACCTACACGTGGACAGAAAGGACACACAAAGGTCTGTTCACTATGCCCCGGCCGATGTTCAAACCCTGTGAAGTGGCAGTGTCGACTAATGCATCGCTGAGAGCTTCCTGTACTTATCTGAAGATATTTACAGATCAAAGCTTTGAATAATGTGTTTATAGGCTTACACCTAAAGATATTAATTTACCGTGTGCTTCAGAGTTAAGTGATAAACAGACCTATGTGTTCATGTAATGTTACATGTGTTAAACATAAGTCAAATAAGGTGTTTACATATTTGGAGTACATATTCTGTTATATTTACATTCAAAGCACAATCACCAAGGTGGCATCATTCTCCTATTACATCTGCCCTAAAAGCATTACGGTCATTTTTGAGAGTTAGGTCTGTAACCTTCATCCTACCAGCTTGTTCTTTGTATGAATCATTCACTCTACCAGAGAAATGAGAGAGTATGAAATCATGTGCAGTATTGCTAACATTACTGTAAAGAAAAAAAGGAACAGCAAAAAACAAATTGGAACAAATTTTACGAAATCATGTAAGAGGAAAGGTTTGATTAAGATTTCCTGACTCAGTTATACACTTTTATATTTTCATATCGTGAATAAGTCATTTGAAAAAACTATATTTTGTCTGGTGTTTATTCCATTCTGTAATGGATCTAAAACATAAAAGAGAGGGCGGACACAAAAAAAATCTCGATATCTTTGATTGAATAGTTTTTGACAGAAAATCGTAGTGCTGCACAGTGGTGTGGCAGTTAGTTTAAGCAACTCACAGCAAGAGGGTCCATGATTCAAATCCTGGCTCAAGTGTTTCTTTGTGGAGTTTGCATGGTCTCCCTGAGTGGGCTATGCCCAGGTATTCCATGCATGTTAACGTAATTGGTATGAGTATGTGTAGTATTGTGGCCCTAACACTCTGCCAATCCCTGAATTGGATTAAGATGGTACATGAAATGAATGGATTAAGGGACTTTAAATCTGTTGTTGCCCTTCATTACTCTGACAATTTCACATGATTTAAGATGAGAAATGAGAGAACATGACAACTCCAACTTAGCTTCACATCATAATCTGCTGTGTTCTGACAGCTTAAACAAGACATAACTACATGGAATAAAGAACAGTTTCAGTCATTTGGAAACACTAGTTAACCCTGAGAAGGAGTGCTATAGGGGGGTCTCCCAGGATGGGCTTAAACTAAAACAAGATCCTCAATTAGACAGATTAGTCAATTAATCCATCAAATAACCCCCAGAACATGCTCATTATCAAAACGGATGATAATCACCAGGACTAAATAGTTGGATAAAACCGATTTGGAAGTGGGCCAAAGTTTAATAGATGGGAATGTAAATGCATCCATGACCAAATCTTCAACACATTTCGGTGACTAACTTTCTTTGATCAAAATTGATTTCAAATTAAACTCATATGAAACTTCCTTTTAATATACAATAAATATTTTTTTCTCTGGAGTTTAGTTTTTATAATAATGATGTCAGCTAGCGAAGTGAATAAATTTGGGTTTAAATTGCCAGCTAGGCAACAATAAAAGCTTCACTACTATTATTTTTTTCATTAAAAGTTATTTTTTTCATTAAAAGTTTACACAACAAAGTGAAGAAAATACTTAGACTTAGACTCAGGACTTAGACTTCCTTTATTGTCATTGTACGAAGCCACATAGTGAATTTGACAATGAAATGTTGTTGTCTTTCAATGGTTAGTTGTATAAAATAATAAAAACAATGGCAAAAAAATCTCACAATCTAGCAAAGGGTCCTGCAGATCAGGACTCATTCATTGTGGTTATGTCCAGATAGTTGTCAGGAGCTATTATTCCTACTGGCTGGAGAACAATGGTTTGTTATGGCTAACGCAGCGTGAGCTAGTATACACATTTGGACAGATTGGATCATTAAAAAAAGCCACTCAAACGCTTTTAATTCTCTTGGAACTGCAGATGTAAAGATATAATTACAGAAAAAACTAACATTTTATTGGAGAATCACTGTGGCGGGATAAAGCATCTTATAAACAACCTTACATCTGAGTACAAGCATCTCGGTTCATGTCTGTGCGCCCAAATCCCCTCAAAAAAGCCTCATCGAAGGAAATGTATTGGTCACATCTTGAAACTACAGAGAACATTTACCCGACACCTGAAGACTCTGCCTCCCAAAAGTCTAGGAAAGTCTAGAAATCCATAAATCATTAAAAAAAAACCTTCCTGGCATCTATGATTTGCTTTTAGATTGAATATTGAATCTTTTTAATTCAAAACCAGCATGAGCATTTTCCTGTCCATGCTGGATAAGAAAAAACCCATGCACAAGCACTCACAATAAAGATAGATGCATTACAGGATATTCTTTAGGTAATTCATCAAAACTTCTGATTTAAAAAAAAAAACTTTCGTTACCTCGTACCTGTTTGGTTCCACTGTTTCATTACAGCATCTGTCTAGTGTTTCTGTACATGTTTAACTGTTATCAGTTTTCATCAAACTAACTAAATTCGAATAAATTGTTATACGTTATTCTGAAATAATGTATGTGAAAGGGCAAGGGGCTTTATTGTTGAAACTGCACCTGTTACACCTTTGCTCCACAAGTCCCTTTGTCACGTACTGCAGGCCCTGGGATTCTTCAACAAACTTTCATAAGTCAAATGTTGGCAAGGACAGAAATGATTGCTCACAAAGAAGAGGAGCTTCTAACTGCATCAGTTTGGACTGAATAGCTTGTAGCCAGCTCAAACTCCCTTATCTCCATCTTTGGCTACATCCATTTACATAAAATTATCAAAATGGACTGTGGTTTCTGTAAATTTGTAATATTACTTATTGGCAATTATGTTGTTCCCTATCAAGGTGAAGAAACACTGTGAAGAAACTCAAGTGCACACAAAAAAAAAAAAAAAAAACTTTTAGCTGTAGTCTGTTATACACTTTCGTAACTCCTAAGAGACTGTTTAAAATATTTTAATCTGTTGCTATCTGTTAGATTTGAAAATGAATGAGGCAAACCTCGTGAGAAACCGATAAAAACACCAGAAAAATGTCCCTTTCTAAAATCAAATTTGAGAATTGGAAGAATTTTTTACTTAATTTTAGATGCTTTAAGTAATTCTGTCTGACCTATTTCATTAATAAGTGTAAGGAAAGAGGTACAGCCTCCTCATCATCACTTTGACCGATAGTACCCTGATAAAGTTGTGGAGATAACTGGAGCTAATTAAAATGAGGCAGGTTTCTGTTGTCAAATCTGTGTGTTGCAGGAGTACAGGGAGATGCTTTATTTGGAAATATATGCGGCCACAGACAAGCAGGACAAGTCTATTTTCTCTAAAGGAGGAAGAGGATGGAAGGTTTTGCCCGATAGTAACCTCGGCACGGTGAGCGAAGGAGGAGGAGAGGTTTGTCCGATAGTAACCCCTTCACCAAGCATGATGGAGGCAAGCAGAGCAGGAGGGGGATGGTGGACAGATTACCTATATTTAACTCCACACAGCAGAAATGTGCCACGTCGGTTTGGTGTACCTACTAAAAAAAAAAAGCCCTCACAGTTCATCTGGTGTCGATGACATAAGGATATTTCAGACAAAAGCGATGCGAAAGGTGTTGCATTCGACGCTCACGACTTTATTTTTCTGTACTCTGGCTGTAACATTTTTACGAAAGCGGTGTGCAGAAAACATCTAAATAAGTCGATATTGGAAAGGTTTCAAGAAACTGTCACGATACTAACAAAAGGCAAAGCTCTTTTGGCTGAAGGTATTTGTTCGGTAAACGTTTATCAGGCTTCTCCTGCTTTGAAGGTCCGGATTTATGTGACGTTCAAGTGCTAGCGAAAGTATGGGAAGGATTACGACCAATAGCATATACTTATCAAATAGATACATATAAGGAAAAACGCAGACTTTCTTAGTTATTGTTCAAAATTGCAAAGCTTTTGTAAGGCAAACAGAAGTTTGTAAAAATAAAGCAAATAATGTAGCTCATAAAATCTCAGAAGCTAATAATGGGACAGTAAACAAAAGACAAAATGAGCATTGTGCACGTGCTATAGCAGTAAAAAAAAGAAAAAAGAAAAATAACAATAGGATATGTTTTTGGTTGTTTTTAGAGATGGGATCATGTTCTGAAATGATCCATCCATCCATTACCATTACCACTTATTCCCCCAGGGAAAATTATTTCTTAATGCTTTGGTGTTATTATTGTCTTTCTGTCAAATGACATAAAAACAGGTTAAATCTGGATGGACTGATTTGTTTTTTCCATACCAAAACTATTTACAGGCTGAAGGAATGCTCACTTATTCTGTGAAGATCTGTGAAGAAGACCTTGAAGGCATCACAGTTTG